TCTTTCGTTACTGTCTGTTGGCCATCTCTATATGACATGGTCGCCTCCTCTCTCTCTCTCTCTCTCCCTCTCCCTCCCTCTCTTTCTTTCTCTCTCTCTCTCTCTCTGTATTTCTTTCTCTCTTCCTGGAGCCTCGTAGCGTATTGGTTAGCACCTCGCCAGCGAGCGAGAGGACCCCCGGGGGTTTGGTTCCCGGCCGGGTAGGACAGAGCAAAACCTTAGGCAAGTTTCCGTACTCCCCGCACACGCGCTCGCGGGCGCGCGCACACGCGGGCCTCTGTTTGCCAGCAGTAAGTAGAAACCTGGCTGTGAGTCGATTGGGGGGGCGGGAATCACTTTCCGGAGGCAATAATCCCGTCAAAAAAGAATAATAGTAATAATAATTCGGTCGCTCAACCCACGACGGCTGTGCCCGCTTTCACTCCCGAAACACGCACTCACTCCACTTTACAGCGCGTCCCGTGAAGCCCTTCGAGACGTCTCGACGACGCGATCGGGCGCCGCGTCAAGTGCGAGGATTATTACTGTTATTAATTATTCATTTGAGTTTTGTGAACGTTCCCCAGCAAGCGGACTGGGAGGGCGGGGGGAGGTGGGGTGGCTGGTGGGGGGGGAGAATGCAGTGTAAGACGCCTTTTTATATTCCCTCTAACTCACGTCTCTGTGTGTTTCAGAAGTAAACAGCCTATTTTGGCCGAGCTGCTGAATTCATTCCATTCACTCACTCGCTCGCTCGCTCACTGCGTATCTTTGCTGGCGCAGGAACAACCCTGCCCTCCCCCCACCCCCTCCACACACGCACACACGCACACACACAGACACACACACACACGCACACACACACGCACACACACACCCACGCAGGAAGCAGGAAGCTGCCTTGCTCCTCCCTGTGACTTAGCCTGACTCAGTGACCACGTGTTTGAATAATTCACTCACTCACTGCACAGTCATGCACAATCCAGCGGGAAGGAAAGGCACCTCCCTATCCCTCTGACCCGCTTACTCCACCCCCCCCTCCGCCCCGAAACTCTGGAAAACTCTTCCCCTATCCCTCCGCCTTGTGGCTGTTAGTCGCTTTTCCGGGGGCGAGTGACCGTGTCCCAAGAAAAAAAATAAAAATGCTAATACAAATAAGTGCGGCAGCAGTCGGCTGCCGCGTTTCACCCACACAGTGCACACAGTCCATTCACTTCACGGCGTGTCCTGTGCGAAGCGCTTTGAGGCGCCTCGAAGACGTGATGAGGCGCTGTATCAAATGCGAGGATTATTATCATTTGTATCACACACACACACACACGGAAACCCATCCCCTGGTGTCTTGACACACGCGTGAAACTCTCCACCCTGAAGTCCAACACGTATCTGCCAACTATATATGGAAATTTCCCTGTGTCTGGAATTGAATGCACGCTCCCTCCCTCCCTCCCCCTCCCTCCCTCTCCCTCCCTCGCTGTTTCTCGCTGGAGGGACGCACCCTGCTCACCTAATCCTGGAGAGCATTGGGGGCGCAGGTTGGCGAGAGCAAAGGCTGTGGGGCGGGGGGGGGGAGCGCAGAGTGTGCGTTGGGGTAACTGCTCAAGTCTAACCGGCTATATCCACGTAGCTTGCCGTTGAGCGCGCTGTCTGGCCTGCTTTCCTGCTGCTCGTCCAGCGAGGACCATCAGGGCTTGGCCAGTCACACAGTTACTCCACTTGACCCGCAAAGCGCCTTCGAGACGTTTCGACGTTGTCGGAGCCGTCTCAAACACGAGGGGTTTGTTGATAGATATTTTATTTGGGGTCCTGTTTATTGATGTACACTGTAAAGTTCCAAAATAAACGGTCGTATAAAAAAAGAAAAAAGTCCGTGTATTTTTCCCGCTCGTTCTTTCCTTTGCAGTTTGGCTTAACATCAATCAGCTTAAGAGTTTTTTCCGACTGGACTCGGTTGTCGGCGTTCAAGACAGCACAGGGACCGGCTCGGTTCTTTCAGGTAAAATAAATCCCTTCAAATAAAAAATAATAATAATAACAATGTGGTCGCTCGAACCCACGACTGTTTGGGGGGGGGGGGGGGGGACGGCGCCAGGCGCCGCGTTTCACCCACTAAGTACACAGTCACCACACTTGACAGCGTCTCTTGTGAAGCGCTTTGAGACGTCTCGAATGCGTGATAAGGTGCTGTGTCAAATGACCCCGGCGCCTTATCACGTCTTTGAGACGTCTCATAGCGCTTCCCAGCACAGACGGTAAAGTGAAGTGACTGTGTGCTGTGTGCACGAAACGCAAGAAGCGCGAGTCATCTCTCTCTCTTTCTGTTCCTCCCCTTCTGTTTGTTTCGCTTTCCTTTCCCAGAAGAGCGTAATTGACTTTTGTGAGAGACGAACTAAGCCTCGAATTAGTACAGAGCGTCAGAGAGAGAGAGAGAGAGAGAGAGAAATCAACAACAGCAATTTGCATGTATGTATGTATGCATATATGTATATATATGACCCCATCACCCCCACCCTCGCCCGGCCCCACTGACTCCCCCCTCCCCACCCTCGCCCGGCCCCACTGAGTGCCCCCTCCCCACCCTCGCCCGGCCCCACTGACTCCCCCCTCCCCACCCTCGCCCGGCCCCACTGACTCCCCCTCCCCACCCTCGCCCGGCCCCACTGACTCCCCCCTCCCCACCCTCGCCCGGCCCCACTGAGTGCCCCCTCCCCACCCTCGCCCGGCCCCACTGACTCCCCCCTCCCCACCCTCGCCCGGCCCCACTGACTCCCCCCTCCCCACCCTCGCCCGGCCCCACTGACTCCCCCCTCCCCACCCTCGCCCGGCCCCACTGACTCCCCCCTCCCCACCCTCGCCCGGCCCCGCTGACTCCCCCCTCCCCACCCTCGCCCGGCCCCGCTGACTCCCCCCTCCCCACCCTCGCCCGGCCCCGCTGACTCCCCCCTCCCCACCCTCGCCCGGCCCCGCTGACTCCCCCCTCCCCACCCTCGCCCGGCCCCGCTGACTCCCCCTCCCCACCCTCGCCCGGCCCCGCTGACTCCCCCTCCCCACCCTCGCCCGGCCCCGCTGACTCCCCCCTCCCCACCCTCGCCCGGCCCCGCTGACTCCCCCCTCCCCACCCTCGCCCGGCCCCTCTGACTCCCCCTCCCCACCCTCGCCCGGCCCCGCTGACTCCCCCCTCCCCACCCTCGCCCGGCCCCGCTGACTCCCCCCTCCCCACCCTCGCCCGGCCCCGCTGACTCCCCCTCCCCACCCTCGCCCGGCCCCGCTGACTCCCCCCTCCCCACCCTCGCCCGGCCCCGCTGACTCCCCCTCCCCGCCCTCGCCCGGCCCCGCTGACTCCCCATCCCTCAGAGGATAGAGTTCAAAGTCCTTGTTCTCACTGTCAAGGCTCTCCATGGCTTTGCTCCCCCCAACCTCCCTGACCCGTTGACCCCCTATCAACCTGTCAGCTCTCTCCGCTCTGCTCCAGGTCTCCCGACCGACCGACCAGCCCTATCGTCGGCAGACGGGCTCTCAGCCTCTCTGCCCCCACCATCTGGGAACTCCATCCCACAATCCCTTCGCCTCGCCCCCTCTCTTGCCTCGTTCAAGACACGAGTAATAACGATAATAATAATAATAATCCTGGCATTGGATATAGCGCTTTTCACGTCTTCGCGACGTCTCAAAGCGCTTCACAGGATAGACTGTAAAGGGGATTGACTATATTTGTGGGCGAAACTGCCCCCACAGACAGTCGTGGGTTGAAAATGACCAATTTATTATTGTTTTTGTTTTGGAGGGAGTATTATTATTAGGGCTGTGTGTGGAGCGAGGAAACTTGCCCGAGGTTTGGCCCTGACCTGCCGGGAATCGAACCCCAGGTCTCTCGCTCGCTCAAGACCCTCCTCTTCGACCGTGCCTTCAGCCGCCCCTCCTACCCCGTCTGCCCTCCCTGATCCCACTCCCCCCTGCCCCGCCCCGCCCCGCCCCCCCCGCTCGGGTCCTGATCCCTGACCGTTCAGCGCCTGGGGACGTCCTCCCGGCGTGAAAGGCACTTTGCAAGTGGGATGTTGTTGTTGTTGTTGTACGGCGCCCCTCGTGCAGGACAGCCTCCCAGAGCGCAGGAAGGGGAAAGGAAAAAAAAGAGCAAGGAAAAAGAGAGAAGAAAGAAAGAAAAGAAGGAGAAAAGAAAGAAAAGAGAGGTAGAAAGAGAGAGAGAGACCAGGGCTGGTGAGGGTCCCTTTAAATCCTGATTGACAGCTGTCCCGTCCAAGTGGGAGGAGCCTCCCTTCGGTCACGGGCCAATAGCGAGCGGGTTCGATGCCACGTGGTTTCCGACCGACGATTGACGTTGCCCTGATTGACAGCCGGGAGGGCCAATCGAAGAATCGAGTGGCGGTTTGTGACGGCAACCAATAGCGCCAATCAGGGCGAGAGGCGGCGTGACGGTGACCCAATGGGGGTGGACGGAGTGGGCGGTGGTCGGCGGCTGACTGACGGCCGGAAAGGCCAATCGAGACGAGCGACGTAGCGAGAGCGACCAATGGGAGCGAGGAGGGCGGGTGACGGGCTGGTCGGGGAGACTGACGGTCGGAGAGACCACTCAGGGGTGCGAGAGGCGGTGTGACGGCGACCGCCGGGACCAATCAGGATGAGAAAGTGAACAATGGGAGGCGTGGTGGGGGGGGCGCGGGGGAAATGGGCGGAAATGAGCTGGCGGGTCTGATGACTGACAGCCGGACGGCACAATCAGAGCGAGAGGAGGGCGAGCGAGCGACCAATGGGAGGAGGGCCATTGGGCGGGAAGGGGGAGCCGGCGGCGGTTGAGCGCGCGGACGGCCGGGCGGGTGGTTGCTATAGGAACGCAGTGGTTTGAAGGCGCCGACGGTTGGTCTCGAGCGAGAGACGGACGGGCGGACGGGCCGGGGAGGGCTGGTTGGTGCCATGGCGGCCGTTCCGCCGGGCTCGGGCTCGGGCCCCGCCGACTGTGGCTCCCGCTGCCGGCCGCTGTGGCGGCTCCCCGCCAGGGTCGTGTGTGACTTCTGCTCCGTCATGGACACGCTGAGCGGCCCCGACTGGCAGCGCTTCGGTAAGAGAGGCCTCGGGGGGGGGGAGATGCTGAGGAAAAGAGTGTGAGAGAGAAAAGCTGAGGGAAGAGAGTGAGAGAGAGAGAGGGGGGGATGAGGGGGGTGGGTTTTGGGGGGAGGGAGAGAGACGGAGGAGAGAGCGAGTGCGTGAGTAAGAGAGGGTGATGGGGGGGAGAGAAGTGAGTGAGTGAGAAAAGCAGAAGAGAAAGAGGAAGGCGGGAGAGAGGGAGAAGATGAAGGTGAGAGAAAAGCCGAGGGAGAGAGAGTGTGAGAGAAAAGCTGAGGGAGAGAGTGAGAGAAAAGCTGAGGGAGAGAGAAAAGCTGAGGGAGAGAGAGAGTGAGAGAGAAAAGCTGAGGGAGAGAGTGAGAGAGAAAAGCTGAGGGAGAGAGTGAGAGAGAGAAAAGCTGAGGGAGAGAGTGAGAGAGAAAAGCTGAGGGAGAGAGTGAGAGAGAAAAGCTGAGGGAGAGAGTGTGAGAGAGAAAAGCTGAGGGAGAGAGTGTGAGAGAAAAGCTGAGGGAGAGAGAGAGAGAAAAGCTGAGGGAGAGAGTGTGAGAGAAAAGCTGAGGGAGAGAGAGAGAGAAAAGCTGAGGGAGAGAGAAAAGCTGAGGGAGAGAGAGAGTGAGAGAGAAAAGCTGAGGGAGAGAGTGAGAGAGAAAAGCTGAGGGAGAGAGTGAGAGAGAGAAAAGCTGAGGGAGAGAGTGAGAGAGAAAAGCTGAGGGAGAGAGTGAGAGAGAGAAAAGCTGAGGGAGAGAGTGAGAGAGAAAAGCTGAGGGAGAGAGTGAGAGAGAGAAAAGCTGAGGGAGAGAGTGAGAGAGAAAAGCTGAGGGAGAGAGTGAGAGAGAAAAGCTGAGGGAGAGAGTGAGAGAGAGAAAAGCTGAGGGAGAGAGTGAGAGAGAAAAGCTGAGGGAGAGAGTGAGAGAGAAAAGCTGAGGGAGAGAGTGAGAGAGAAAAGCTGAGGGAGAGAGTGAGAGAAAAGCTGAGGGAGAGAGTGAGAGAGAAAAGCTGAGGGAGAGAGTGAGAGAGAAAAGCTGAGGGAGAGAGTGAGAGAAAAGCTGAGGGAGAGAGTGAAGGTGTGAGAGAAAAGCTGAGGGAGAGAGTGTGAGAGAAAAGCTGAGGGAGAGAGTGTGAGAGAAAAGCTGAGGGAGAGAGTGAGAGAGAAAAGCTGAGGGAGAGAGAGAAAAGCTGAGGGAGAGAGTGAGAGAGAAAAGCTGAGGGAGAGAAAAGCTGAGGGAGAGAGGGAGAGAAAAGCTGAGGGAGAGAGTGTGAGAGAAAAGCTGAGGGAGAGAGTGTGAGAGAAAAGCTGAGGGAGAGAGTGTGAGAGAAAAGCTGAGGGAGAGAGTGAGAGAGAAAAGCTGAGGGAGAGAGAGAAAAGCTGAGGGAGAGAGTGAGAGAGAAAAGCTGAGGGAGAGAAAAGCTGAGGGAGAGAGGGAGAGAAAAGCTGAGGGAGAGAGTGAGAGAAAAGCTGAGGGAGAGAGTGTGAGAGAGAAAAGCTGAGGGAGAGAGTGAGAGAGAAAAGCTGAGGGAGAGAGTGAGAGAGAAAAGCTGAGGGAGAGAGGGAGAGAGAAAAGCTGAGGGAGAGCGAGAAGCTGAAGAGAGGATGAGGGAGGGATAATAACAATCCTGGCATCTGATACAGCGCCTTTTCACGTCTTCCAGACGTCTCAAAGCGCTTCACAGCGTAAAGTGTAGTGACTGTATATTAGTGGGCGAAACGGACACTTGTGCCCGGGGACATCCCACACACAGCCGTGGGTCGAAGCGACCAATTTATTGTTGTATTTTTTTTCTCTTGAGGTATTATTATCAGGAATGTGTGTGGAGTAAGGAAACGTGCCCACGGTTTCACCCCCTGCCGGGAAAGGCAAGTGCTCTCACCACTGAGCTGCAGGGCTCCGTAAGGGAGAGAGAGTGGGTCAGGGAGAGTGTGTGAGTGAAGGAGAGCGGCCGAGGGGAGAGGCTGTAGAGACGGACACAGACGGGCTGAGAGCCAGAGAGAGAGAGGCCGGGGAGAGGTGAAGAATAAAAAGAGATTGGGGCCAGCGGGGCAGTGGGGGTTGGGGAGAGAGGCCGGACACTGGGTGGCGAGGGGGGAGAAAGGCTGGGAGGGGGGGCATCAGAAGGTTGTAGGTTTGAGCCCTCCCCAACACACACACACACACACACACGCGTCAAACTCCGAACCTGTATAGTTTAAGCTGACGTTGGGGGCATAGAGAGGGAGAGAGCGGCGCCATTGTGGGAGCACCGTCCTTCGGATGAGACGTTGAACCTCACTCACTCCCCGACCGTGCCGTGTTCAAGGCGGACGTTAAAGATCTCCCCCCGCGGCGCTGTGGGGGGGCGAAAGGAGAATGGAGTTTCGCTCTCTCTCTCCCGGGGTCTTGGCCGACAGATAAAACCGCTCACTGGCTTCACGGATGTTTGCGTGGGCGTCGCTGTGTTGCCCTGTCCACCTTCAAGACATGCAGTCACCGCAATTTACAGTGAATCCCGTGCAGTGCTCTGAGACAATGATGACGTAAGGCGCTGTGTAAAGTGTGAGGTTTATTATTAGAAGCTTTTATCCGGCTTTCATTGAATGCGGTTTAGTGTGCTGTAAATGGATGCGTTTGTAATTCTGGGGAGATTTGATTGATAAGAAAAACCTGGTCATCATATTTGACATTTTTTGATCGAGAGAGAGAGAGAGAGAGGGGTTGAGGTTTTAATTTGTTTTTAAAGGTGTCTTTTCAACTCAAAAGTTCCATTTTATGTGGTTTTGTGTGCCGCTAGGTGCAGTTTTATTTTTTTTACTGTGGTTACCATTTGACCAAACCTGTTAACAAAATCAAAGTTATTTGTTGCAAAATGTAATTCATGGGATAATTATGTAAATATAATGATATTAATCCTTGCATTTGATACAACACCTCATCATGTCTTCGAGACATCCCAAAGCGCGTCACAGGAGTGTATTGACTTGTGTTTTGTGGTTGAAACGCGGTCCCAGTTTCTCCATATCGTCCCCAGTATCATCCTGGTTAATGTGCATAACTTTAGCTCACTCTCGGTGTGAAACCTTTCCCACCCCCTCCAACATCACTGAGAGCAATGAGTACCTTTCAGATCAAGCTTGGGTTCCCTCGGCCCCTTCACAGCTCTCAGCACTGCGCGCAAACCCAGTCATTCCTCTCTGCTGCCTCAGCCCACCATTACAGTGCTAATCCCCGCGATACACACATCAGGATGTCTCCAAGCGCTTCACAGGGTTTCACTGTATTGTGTGGGTGGGTGACTGACTGTGCTTATGGGTGTGTTGTGGAGTCCTGTAGTTCAGTGGTTAGATCACTGGCTTCCCAAGCGAGAAGGCCCGGGGGTTTGATTCCCCGGCAGTGCGAAACCTGAGGCAAGTTTCCTTACTCGACCCACGCACGCCTCTGTTTCCCGGCAGTCAGCAGGAACCCACTCGTTCGTCGATTGTCGATCGCTGTTTCGCCCGCAAAATGTGCAGTCGCTAACACTTCACAGTGTATTCTGTGAAGCGCTTTGAAGCGTCTTGAAGACGTGAGCAGGTTCTGTGTCAAATAATGCCCGGATCGTTCTCGCTGTAGCCTCGCAGGCCACTTTCAGAACATCAGTTTTGAATCAAATTCACAAGCAATCACTGCCAAGTGACAGTGCAGGTTCTTGGCAACGGCAGCAGGCAATTTGCACACAGCGGGTTCCACATGTCCAGGCAAGCAGGGAGGGAGCGAGGGAGGGAGCGAGGGAGGGAGTAACCTGCTGCTTTGTTGGCTGTGACATTGGCTCTGCCTGTTGCTCAGAGCGTTTCCCTTCCTGGAGAGTCAACCACAGGCAACAAACACTGTGTTTACCCCTCCTCTCCCTATGGTCGTATGTCTGCCTGCTTTAGTGAGGACCCTCTGCTCTCTAACAGCAGATGACATTTACACAGTGCCTGCCTTTCACGACGGGAGGATGTCCCAAGGTGCTGGGAAGTCAGGCATTTGGACCCGAGCTGGTGCTTGGGAACAGGAGAGGGGGAGATTGGAGGAAGGAGAGTGGCCAACGGTGCGGTTGAAGAGGAGGGTCTTGAGACAGGCCATGAAGGAGGCGAGGGAGGGGGCGAGCCGGAGAGAATGTGGGACGCAGTTCCAAAGGGTGGGGGCAGAGAGGCTGAAGGTGGGGCAGGCGGGCGGGGGACATGGAGCAGGCCGGAGCCTGCTGAGTGGAGCGAGGAGATGGGTTGAAAGGTCACAGTAAGAGCAGCGACTGTGTGTTTTGTGTGTGAATGTGGCCGCCAGTTTGCTCGCGTTTTAATATTTCATTCAAATCCCGGGACCTCCCACCGCCCCACCCGCGCTGCCTAAACTGAGCTCGAAGTCCCCGGCGTGGGGCTGGAGCACAGGCCAGGCTGACACACCCTCCCTCTCTCTCTCTCTCTCTCTCTGCTCTATTCCCACCCTGTGCTGATTTACAAATCGGCTCACCTTTGATGCTGTGGACCACTCAATCCTCCTCCACCGCCTCTCCTCCCACCTCAACCTTCAAGGTTCTGTCCTTGACTGGTTCAGGTCCTACCTCTCACACCGCCTCCACTTCGTCTCTGCAAACGGCTTCTCCTCCAGCCCCCGCACCGTCTCGTGCGGTGTTCCTCGGGGCTCTGTCCTCGGTCCCCTTCTCTACATGCTCCCCCTTGGCGACATCATCCGCAGACATGGGGTAAATTTCCACATGTATGCGGATGACACCCAACTCTATCTCTCTGCCTCCACCCTGAACTCCAGGACGATTGGTGTCCTGACCGACTGCCTGTCCGACATGAAGTCCTGGGCGAGGGACAACTTTCTCCAACTGAATGTCAGCAAGACTGAGGCTCACGCCAGCGTCTCCGCACCTCGGGCACTGGCAGCATCAGCCTCCACCACTGCACACTCAACCTCACTAAGTCAGTCAGGAACCTGGGGGTCTTGTTTGACCCTGAACTGTCCTTTCTCCCCCACATCCGCACCATGACCAGCACTGCCTACCACCATCTCCGCAACATTGCCAGCCTCGGCCACTGCCTCACCCCTCAGGCCCCCAAACCCTCACCACGCATTGGTCACCTCAAGGCTCGATTACGGGAACTCTCTCCTCATCGGACTTCCCAACTCTTCCCTTCACAAACTGCAGATCATCCAAAACTCTGCAGCTCGTGTAGTCTCACGCACCAGGCTCCACGACTCCATCACTCCCACCCTCGCCCAACTCCACTGGCTCCCCATCCCCCAGAGGATCGAGTTCAAGATCCTCGTCCTCACTTTCAAGGTCATCCATGGCCTCGCCCCCTCCCACCTCTCTGCCCTACCAACCTGCCCGCTCCCTCCGTTCAGCAGGCTCTGGCCTGCTCCATGTCTCCCGCCCAACCCGCCCTACCATCGGCCTCTCTGCCCCCACACTCTGGAACTCCATCCCACAGTCCCTTTGCCTCGCCTCCTTCAAGGCTGGTCTCAAGACCCTCCTCTTCGATCGTGCCTTTGGTCGCCCTCCCACCTCCTTGCCTTCCCTCCCCCCTACCCTACGCCTCTCCCATGCTCGGGTCCTGACCCCTGACTGTCCAGCACCTTGAGACGTCCTCCCGATGTGAAAGGCACTCTATAAGTGTCATTTTTTTGTTTTTGAAAGGGAGTTATGGAGCAGGAAATCCCCATGATTTATAGGCGTGGGTCACCGATGCCTCCAGGGAGCAAGTGTGTGTGACTCACTTTTACAGATGGCAAATAAGTAGCAGCAGCTCTTTCCTGTTCCGGTTTGCTGGCAGGAAGAGCTCTCTCGTGGTTTTTCCCCAGGAATCCCAGTGCCAGCCCAGCCTGTCTGTGTGTCGGTCTGGCTCAGTCGCTCGCGCTCTACTTCTGAGTCACAAACTTGCGGGTTCAGATCTCGTCCTCGCCGTCAAGACCCCCACGGCCTGGCTGCTCCCTACTCTGTGAGCTGCTAACCCCGTATCAACCTGTCAAGTTGACTCAAGACATCATCACTCAAGACATCATCACTACAGTGAAACTCAGGACCTCATGGCAATCGGGCAAACAAGCCCTATGTCATAATGAGTTGCATTTGACACAGTCCTGATCATGTCAGGAGGACGTATCAAAGTGCTTCACAGGATTATAATTGTAATAGATCATTGATTGATAACTAATCGTGCTGTTTATTGACGCCTGTTTTGCAGCTTCGTGTATTATCAGTGACGTGACTGAGCTGCGGCTGCTGCTGAGCCCGGGTGATGCTGGCCGCACAGAGCGGGTCCTGTGGCATTGGATTAACCGGAATGGCATGGTGGAGGAGCTGCTGGGCATCCTGAGCAGTCTCAGCCTGTGGAGAGCCCGAGACATCATCCTGGCCTGTGAGTCCGTGCCCCCTATTCTCTGCTACTCCATCTCAAAGGATACGGTTCAAAATCCTCACCTTCACAGCCCTCCATGGCCTCGCTCCTCCTTCCCTACCTCTGTGACCTGCTAACCCCCTACTTACCTGTCCACTCCCTCCCTCCGCTCAGCAGGCTCTAGCCTCTGAATCACACAGTCTAAGCCTTCACGGCTGTTTGCGGGGACGTTGCTGTGCACAAACACTATCTGCCCTGTTTCAGGCGCAAAACACACAGTCACTACGTGCGCTTTGGGATGTCCTCCTGACGTGGAAGGCGCTGTATCAAATGTAAGGATTTATTATCATTGTGACCTTGACTCAAGTGACTGAGAGAGTCTCTGTGTGTTTGAAGCACTTTGCCATAAAGGTACTGTGTAAGTAAGTGAAAGCTGTTACCAACAAAACCTGGTGTCATGCTGGTGAGAGGTTGAGCAATCAATGTTTCTCCTGTCACAATGGGGAAGTCCCCAACATAGGACATCTATAAATAGGACAGAGAGTAGCTGTGACCCAACCCAGAGCTCACTGTGTCCTGTCCCTTCCCCCGTTTCCCCCTCTCACACACGCACACACACATCGTCCCTGACCCCAGCTGAACTGCACTTCCCATTGCTGAGTGCTTAGCATGTGATTACAACACTACCAGACATTCTCTCTCAAGCCCACTGTGTCTGTTATATTAAATACAACGGCATTAGCAGTAGAAAGCAGCTGTCGAGTGTGGTGACTGTGTGTGTGGGTTGGGGGGCTTGTGGAGGAGGAGGGGTGTATACATTTTACACCACGAGCGGGTGATTGTGTGTCAGCCTGGCTCAATCGCTCACACTCTCGCCTCCGAAATAAACACAATTAAAAAAAATGACGTTTAAATAAAATAAAAAATAATTTGGTCACTCAATCCACGACTGAGTTCTCTGAGTCGCTACCCCGGCTTGAAGGGTGCGATTTAAATGCGAGTTGTTGTTTGTGGGATGTCGCTGTGCACAGTTGGTTGCCGCATTTTACCCACCAAATATACAGTCACTACACTTTACAGTATATTCTGTGAAGCGGTTCGATACGTCTAGAAGATGTAATAAGGTGTGATATCCAATGCAAGCATTATTATTATTATAATCCTGTGAAGCGCTTTGATATGTCCTTCTGACGTAATAATATAATAATCCTGGCATTTGATATCGTTCCTTATCACATCTTCGAGACATCTCAAAGCGCTCCACAGGATGCACTGTAAAGTGCAGCGATTGGGTGTTTTATGGATGAAATGATGAGGCGATGTGTAACAGGTAACCCATTGTGACGGGGGGTTGTGTGACTCCGGTTGCCTGTGAGACGTCTGTGAGGTTTTACAGTTGTGTTGATATGTCTTTTGCTGTGTGTTACAGGGCAGCCAGTGTCCCTACCCAGGACTGACCCACACTGGTATCCCCGCCCGCACCCCACACCAGCCCCAGTGCCCCCAGCTCCGTGCCCCCCAGTGCTCAGGCCAGACCCCAGCAAGCCCAGCGTCAGGATCCTCAGCGACCAGGACACTGCGGAATTTGACACTCCCAGGCCAGAGAGCACAAAGGGTAAGTTACCTTAACATCACACCAGTCCCTGTTGTGTCTGTCTGTGGGTGGGTGGCTGGGTGTGTGTGTGTGGGTGGGTGTGTGTGTGTGTGTATGTGGGGGGGGGGGGTGTCAGCCTGGCTCAGTGTGTTGCACTTTCACACTCCTAGGCCAGAGAGCACAAAGTTTCCCCTCCTCTTCAATATCTATATTCTCTCTCTTACTGACATCATCCGCAGACATGGGGTCAACTCCCACATGTATGTGGATGACACCCACCTCTCCCCTCTGCCTCCCCCCTTGACTCCAGGACCCACTGCTGTGCTGACACAATGTCTGTCAGACCCCAAGTCCTGGATGAGAGATAACTTTCTACAGTTGAACGTCATCAAGACCGAAGCTCCAGATTGGCTCCCGTCAGTGCCTCCTCACCTCAGGCGCTGACAGCGTCACCATCCATGGGGCTCACTCCCCCTCACTGAGCCGGTCCCGAACCTTGGGGTCTGGTTTGACCCTCAACTATCCTTTCTGCCCCACATCTGCGCCATGACCCGCTCTGCCTTCCCCACCTCCGCAACATCACCCGACTCCGCCACTGTCTCACACCGCAGCCCCACTATTGGCGGGCGGGTCTTTTGCCATTCTGCCCCACCTTTTGGAACTCCATCCCGCAGTCCCTCCCCCTCGCCCCCTCTCTTGCCTCCTTCAACACCCATCACAAGACCCTCCTCGTCGACCGCGCCATCGATCTCCTTCCTTCCCCCCCCCCCCCCCACTGCCCTCCTCCGACCCCCAGCTCAGGTCCGAAACACAGACTGTCCAGTGCCTTGGGACATCCTCCCAACGTGAAAGACGTTTTACACATGTAAATCTGTTATTGTTAACATCACACCAGCCCCTGTTCTGTCTGTCTTTGTGTGTGTGTGTGTGTCCTGCAGTACTCTGGTCTCTGAGGCAGAAGGTTGTGGGTGTGAGGCCTATACACCGGGATGTGGGATCTCATAGTCCAGGCTGAAGCTCTGGTGCAATGCTGGGATGGGGTGGGGGGGGGGGGGGGTCAGGCGGGGCTGAGTGTTGAAAATTGCTCATTCACTTCATGGCTGTTTGTGGGGCCGTCGCTGTGCGCAAATTGCCTGCCGAGTTTCGCCCACTAAACACATAGTCACTGCACTTTACAGTGAATCCTGTGAAGGGCTCTGGGACAATAACCTGCGTGAGGGGCGCTATATAAATGCAAGTTGTTGTTATTGTTGAAATGCTTTGAGATATCCTCCTGAAGTGAAAGACATCGGATCAATTATTTAGTTAGCTCGGGCTCCCTCTTTCATCATGCTGGAGTGGTTTGAGAAGCTGAACCAGTACGCTGGCCTGGAATGTGAGCTCATACCTCACAGAGGCAGTTGCCCTCCTGTTGACATGTTTTTCTCTCCTCCCTTCCTCCTGCCCTCCAGCACACTGCCGCTTGCCGGGCCCTCCCACACCTCCTCCCAATATCTCCGAAGCTTTTGATCGGAGCTCCAGCACGGATACTCCAATCAAGGTAATAACTCCACGTTTGGAGGGGTGGGAAGGGGGTGTCCACGACACACACACGCGGAAACCCGTCACCGTGACCGGCCGGGTGTCTGACACACACACACGGAAACCCGTCACCGTGACCGGCCGGGTGTCTGACACACACACACAGGGAAACCCGTCACCGTGACCGGCCGGGTGTCTGACACACACACACAGGGAAACCCGTCACCGTGACCGGTTGGGTGTCTGACACACACACAGGGAAACCCGTCACCGTGACCGGCCGGGTGTCTGACACACACACACGGAAACCCGTCACCGTGACCGGCCGGGTGTCTGACACACACACACACGGAAACCCGTTGCCGTGACCGGCCGGGTATCTGACCCACACACACACATGGTAACCCGTTGCCGTGATCAACCTGGACTGTGAGCTCATAATGCCCCCATTGTGAGGGTTTAAACCCACACCTAACTCTGAGACGAGACTGGGAGCCACTAAGCTTTAGGCTGGGAATCAGTACGCAGCACTTTAGGCCGTTGCACGGGGTTGCGTGGGGGGGTGGAGGTGGGGGGGTTATGCCAGTGAGCACCCGTTTAATCTCTTCCCACTCCCATCAGCCCACAGAGGATAGGAGCGCTGTGGGCACTCTCTCCCCAGAGACCTGCCTGCTGTCCTGGTCGCTGCAGGAGCTGAGCGAAGGCACCGACAACTTTGCCGAACATCGGCGGATCGGGGAGGGAGGATTCGGCCACGTCTACCATGCTCTGATGCGGCACACGCACTATGCCGTCAAACGCCTGAAGGAGGTGAGCGAGACCGAGAGAGTGTGCGGGAGAGAGCAAAGGAGAGTGAGAGAGACAGCGAGGGGGCAAAGGAGAGTGAGAGCGACAGAGCGCGCGCGAGAGAGAGGGTGTGCGCGGGGTGGGGGAGGGAGGACACGGGAGGCCACACCAGTGGGGGAGAGAGGAGGGAGGGGAGGGGAGAGGAGTTGGGTAAGTCGCTGGTACTTAATTATTATTGATTGTTGTTGCTAACGGTGCGGCCATTTTGTAAAGCGTTCCATGGTGCGATAGTTTGAGTCGTTGCCTCGGGGTTTAATCCCCTCTCTCTCCTCCCCCCCCCCCCCTCCCGGGCAGGACTCTGATCTGGATTGGAAGACAGTGAAGCAGAGCTTCCACACTGAGCTGCAGAAGCTGTACCAGTGAGTATCACGTGGGCTTTGCTGCCCCACACGTCAGCGACTCGGGGCCCTGTCTAGACTAAGCTGCTGCTCCGACCCTGGGTGGGGGAAACAGAGAGAGCGCCACATTATCAGAGACTCCGTCCTGCGTTAAACCTCACTCACTCCGTGTGCTGTTCAGGGCGGCGTTAAAGATCTCTTCCCCCCCCCCCCACCTCCTCCGTGCAGCGCTGCTGGAAAAGCAAAGGGGGTTTCTCTCTCTCTCTCTCTCCCGGGGAGGGAGAGAATCATTCACTCCACTGCTGTTTGTGGGGGATGTCGCTGTGCGCAAATCGGCTGCTGTGTTCACCCGCAAAACACACGGTCACTGCTCTTCGAAGCAAATCCCGTGAAGCACTTTGAAGCCTCCTGATGTGAAAAGCGCTGTGTTAAATGTTAGGATTATTATTATTATGGCTCTATGTCGGAGTTCAATCTGTGACCTCCGATTTGTGCGTCTCTCTCACTATCTGTGTGTGTGTGCGTCTATCTCTCTGTGAAGCTATCGACACCCAAACATTGTGGAGCTGGCTGGCTGCTGTGTGGAGGGGGACATTTACTGCCTGGTTTACGTCTACATGGCAAATGGCTCCTTGGAGGATCGGCTTCAATGTCAGGTACTGAGCGACAGTGTACACGCGCGCACACTATACACGTGCGCACACACTGTGTACACGCGCGCACTCTGTACGCACACACACACGCGCGCACACTGTGGTGTGGCGTGGTGGAGCCCGGCCCCTCTCACTGCTGCCTCTCCCTGTGTCTTGACAGAACAACACGCCAGCCCTGCCCTGGCTGAGACGCCTGGACATTGCCCTGGGCGCTGCCCGAGCCATCCAGTTCCTGCACTCCAGCAACCCCAGCCTGATCCACGGGGACGTCAAGAGGTCAGGGAGGGTCTGTGTCGTGTCTGTGGGTGGGTGTGGGAGGTGTGTGGGTGTGGGATGTGTCTGGGTGGGTGCGGGGGGTGTCTGGGTGGGGGGGGGTGGTGTCTGTGGGTAGGTGGGGGGGAGTGTCTGTGGATGTGTGGGGGGGTGTCTGGGGGTGGTGTCGGTGGGTGGGTGGGTGGTGTCTGTGGTTGGGGGGCGTGTCTGTGGGGGTGGGTGTTACTCTTTTTTCCCACTCCCTCATTTTCTTTCTCTGTCTCTAACTCTCCCTTTCTCCCTCACTCTCTGTGTCTGTGTCTCTTGCTCTCTCTGTCTCTCACTCTCTGTCTCTCTCCCCCCCACCCCCAGCTCCAACATCCTCCTGGATGAGAACCTAAGTGCTAAGCTGGGAGACTTTGGGCTGGCGAGGTTCAGCCGACTGTCTGGGAACACGGGGAGGAGCTGTACTGTGGCTCGCACACAAACGCTGCAGGGAACCCTGGCCTATCTCCCCAACGAGTACATCCAGAGTGGCCAGCTCGCCCCTGAGCTGGACACCTACAGCTTCGGTGTGGTGAGTGAGTGTGTGTGTCTCTATCTCTATCGCTGTGTGTGTGTGTGTGTGTCTCTTATCGCTGTGTGTGTGTGTGTCTCTATCGCTGTGTGTATGTGTCTTTTTTTATGTGTCTGTCTCTGGCTGTCTCTCTTTATCTGTGTGCGTGTGTATGTGTGTGTGTGTCTTACACTCTTTTTTTCTCTCTCTCTCTCTGCGAAGGGGAGGGAGACCTGCCATTCAAACCGAATAAGATCTAAACCCAGATGTTTTTTCAGCTGTTGCAAACAGAGACGTTACCTTCTGTGCTCTGTCTCTACAGGTGCTGTTAGAGATCCTGACAGGGAGGAAAGCGCTGGAAAATCACGGGCCCACAAAGTGCAAATACCTGGTGAGAGAGATCCCACTGTGGCTAACCCTGACCTGGGAGTGTGGACACACAGTGTAGAGCTTTACTGTGTCTCTAACCCTGACCTGGGAGTGTGGACGGACACACAGTGTAGAGAAGCTTTACTGTGTCTCTAACCCTGACCTGGGAGTGTGGACGGACGCACAGTGTAGAGGAGCTTTACTGTGTCTCTAACCCTGACCTGGGAGTGTGGACGGACGCACAGTGTAGAGGAGCTTTACTGTGTCTCTAACCCTGACATGGGAGTGTGGACGGACGCACAGTGTAGAGGGAGCTTTACTCTTTTGAGGGCAGCTTGGGACATCCTCCCGACATGAAAGGTGCTATACAAATGTTATTTTGGTGTTGTTGTGTGGCTGAGTGTCTATCTGTTTGATGCAGAAAGAGATGGTGGAGGAGGATGATGGAGAGACGAGTGGGACAGACAGCCAGAGCTTTGCTGCTAATCTCTGCCTCAGACACCTGGACAGGAAGCCAGGGCAGTGTGTCAGTGAGGTGCTGCTGCAGCTCTGTGTGCTGGCCTGTGAGTGTCTGAACCGCAGGAGGAGGAGGAGACCCAAGATGACAACGGTAATAAAACCACTCGCTTACAAATCACTTCACCCCCGCACCTCCCTATCTCTCGCACCTGCTCCCCCTTCAATTGTCTGTCTCTGGCCTCCAGCCCCTCCCTTGTCCCCTCCGCTCAACCATGGCCGTGCTTACAGCCACCAAACTGTCACTCCCCCACATTCTCCCCTCTTCAGATCCCACCTGAGGATCTTCCTCTTCTACTGTGCGTATAGTCACCCTCTCTCTCTCTCTCTCTCTCTCTCTCTCCCCAATCTGCCACTGTTAAGCGTTCTCCACGTGAACGCGAGTGAACTGCTATTGTTAGTATGTGGAGTCCTGTAGCTCAGTGGTTAGAGCCCTCGCCTCTCAAGTGAGAGGACCCGGGTTCGATTCCCGGGCAGACGGGTCAGGTTGAAAGTCCTAGACAAGTTTCCTTACTCCACACACACAGACACACACACACAGACACACACACACAGGCCTCTGTTCACTGTGGATCACATTCCGGGTGTAATAATCCCTTCTGAAAAGAAAATCCCCGACTGTCCATGGGGACGTCGCTGGGCACAATCGGCTGCCGCGTTTCGCCCACAAAGCGCACAGTCACTACACTTTACAGTGCATCCTGTGCAGCGCTTTGAGACGCCTCGATGACCTCGATGATCAGGCACCGGGTCACAAACACCAGGTTTATTATTGTTATTAATTATTATTAATGTCCGAACCGGCAGGTTTACACCAGACTGGAGGAGCTGAGGCAGAGGCTGGCTGGCTGGCCTGAGGCAGAGCAGCCAAGTGCCTGGACGCCAGGCCATGAGGCTGAGCGCAGTCGGGCAGTGGACAAAATGGCCGAATGGAGTCAGCCAGTGGACAGAGTGACCGAGAGCTTGCGAAGCTGCTCACTGAGCCCCGTGCAGAACACGTACCGTTTCCCCAGCGTGCCCCAGGGCCTCTCGAAGCCCACCTCGTCGTCCTCCTCACTCCGAGAGCCCCCAAGCTGGAGCCCCTCCACGGACTCCCTGTCGCACAGCGGGAAGCAGCCCTGGCCCGTGGCCTCTGTCTCCCCCTCTGCCTCGTGGGGAGCGTCTCGGCCGGTGGAGAGCGACGAGAGCGACGCCGGGGGGGGCATCTACTCCCAGACCAGCCTGGACACACGGCTCACAGCCAGCAATCAGCCCCGGCCCTCCCCTCGCGAGGGGTCTCCCCGCCACTCACCCTCACCGTCACCGGTAACAACACCGGCCGACACACGCTCACCGCAGGACTCCGGGAGTTGCTGCGGAGCCGCACAGGCTGGAGACGGACACGGTAATAATGATAAACCTTCCCTTTGACCCGGCGCCTGATCACGTCTTCGAGACATCTCAACGCGCTTCGCAGGATACACTGTGAAGTGCAGTGACTGTGTTTTGTGGGTGAAAAATAAGTGGGTGAGGGCGGATCGGAGGGGCTGTTGTTGTTTCTCACTCGCGCGCTCTCTCAGGTCGGTGGTCAGGGTCACACAGTCGCAGGCACACACACACTGCCTCACACACACACACACACAACCAACTCACTCACAAACACGCACACACACACTCACACACACACACACACACACGCGCGCGCACACACACACACAGACAGACAGGATCTCAGGTTTGATGTCCCGCCCCGATGGACAGTGCCTCTGACAGTGCAGCGCTGTTTTTCGCTCTCCTCTTCCCCCCCACTCCTGCCCCCCAGTATTATCTCGGAGCTGTGAGCTCCAACAACAACACCACATGACATTTACACAGCGCCCGCCTTTCACGGTGTCAGGAGGACGTCCCAAGGCGCTGGACAGCGAGGGACAGCGAGGGACTTGCTCCCGAGCTGGGGGTTGGGATGGGGAGGGAGGAGCGTTAACCCCAGTACCCAAAGTGAGCTTTTAGCCAACTTTAGAGCAAAGAGAGTGAGCAGCCCTGGCTCTGCGCGCGTGGCTCTGCGCGCGTGGCTCTGCGCGCGTGGCTCTGCGCGCGTGGCTCTGCGCGCGTGGCTCTGCGCGCGTGGCTCTGCGCGCGTGGCTCTGCGCGCGTGGCTCTGCGCGCGTGGCTCTGCGCGCGTGGCTCTGCGCGCGTGGCTCTGCGCGCGTGGCTCTGCGCGCGTGGCTCTGCGCGCGTGGCTCTGCGCGCGTGGCTCTGCGCGCGTGGCTCTGCGCGCGTGGCTCTGCGCGCGTGGCTCTGCGCGCGTGGCTCTGCGCGCGTGGCTCTGCGCGCGTGGCTCTGCGCGCGTGGCTCTGCGCGCGTGGCTCTGCGCGCGTGGCTCTGCGCGCGTGGCTCTGCGCGCGTGGCTCTGCGCGCGCGTGGCTCTGCGCGCGCGCGGCTCTGCGCGCGTGTGTGGCTCTGCGCGCGTGGCTCTGCGCGCGCGTGGCTGTGTGTGTGTGTGTGTGTCTGTGTGTGTGAGCATTACTGTAGAAGCGTTCAGTAATGCTCTCTCTCCCACACACACAGTGTGTAGCCGTACCTGACCTCTAGTGGCTTCTGTGTGACACTGCGGGCCGAGGGGAGGGGGAGCAGTGGGTTTGCTTTGGCACAGTGTTTGTACAGTGATTCCCATCCCGAGCCCCAGCGTGTGGGGGAAATTGTTTCCCTCTCTCCCTCTCTCTCCCACCCCCCCCCCACTCCCATTCCCCCCTCTCCCTCCCATTGCCCCCCCCCCCCCTCTCTCTCTCTCTCTCTCGCTCTCTCAACCTCCCATCCTGTGCTTGGGTACCACATACCATGACTGTTTTAAAGCAGGGGAAGGTCCCAGATTCTAGCCATCAGGGCAGGCACACACACACGCACTCACACACACACACACACACACACACACGCACTCACACACACACGCACTCACTCACACACACACGCACTCACACACACACACGCACACACACACACACACACACTCACACACGCACTCACACACACACACACTCACACACACACGCACTCACACACACACACACACGCACGCACTCACTCACTCACACACACACACGCACGCACTCACACACACACGCACTCACACACGCACTCACTCACTCACACACACGCACTCACTCACACACACGCACTCACTCACACACGCACTCACACACACACGCACTCACACACACGCACTCACACACACGCACTCACACACACGCACTCACACACACGCACTCACACACACACGCACTCACACACACACACGCGCACTCACACACACACGCACTCACACACACACACGCGCGCTCACTCACACACACACACACACGCACTCACACGCACTCACACACACACACACGCACTCACACACACACGCACTCACACGCACACGCACACACACACGCACTCACACACGCACTCACACACACACACGCACTCACACACACGCACTCACACACGCACTCACACACACGCACTCACACGCACGCACGCACTCACACACACGCACGCACTCACACACACACACACACTCACACACACACGCACGCACTCACACACACGCACTCACACTCACACGCACTCGCACTCACACACGCACTCACACACACACACACACACGCACACACACGCACACACGCACTCACACACGCACTCACACACACGCACACACACACGCACGCACTCACTCACACACGCAGTCACACACACGCACTCACACTCACACACACGCACTCGCACTCACACACGCACTCACACACACACACACGCACTCACACACGCACACACGCACTCACACACGCACTCACACACACGCACACACACGCACTCACACACACGCACACGCACTCACGCACACGCACTCACACACACACTCACACGCACTCTCACACACACACGCACTCACACACGCACACGCACACACACACACGCACTCACACACACGTACTCACACAGACACACTCACACAGGCACAGGAAGGCACAGGCAGACGCACCCAGACCCAGGCAGAAACGGGCAACAACAAAATTGCATTTGTAGAGTGTCTTTTCGCATCGGGAGGACGTCCCAAGAAACATGCATACAGGCAGAAACACACACCCGCACACACACACACGCACACACACACACGCGCGCGCAGGCAGAGACAAACACAGACAGAAACACGCACACAGACAGAGCCGGGGGAGCCAGGTCCTGTTTCTGGTGCGTGGTGAATCTCTCTGAGCTGCTGTTCTCACCCGAAAAGGCGTCAGTGTAAATGGGGAAGCTGTGAGGCGGTGAGTGACGGGGGTTTATATTGGGAGGGGGAGAGAGGGAGATAATTCCCTCCCTCTCTCCCCACCCCCGCCTGGCCGTGTGTCTGACCTCTCTCCCCTCGTCTCTCCCCACAGGTATCTCTCCGCTCATTGTTCTCAACCCGGCCAAGCAGCGCATCCTGGAGCAGTTTGCACTGTACCGCGCCGGTCAGATAGACAGCACCGAGCTGCTCTCCTCATTCCCTGACACAGGTACAGAGCAAATAATAACAGTCCCGGCATTTGACCCGGTGCCTGATCAGGTCATCAAGACATCTCAAAGCGCTTCACAAGATACACTGCAAAGTGTAGTGACTGTGTGTTTTGGGGGCGAAACACGACAGCCAATTGCACATAGTGACGTCCTCACAAACAGTCTTGGATTGAGTGACCGGCCCTCCCACGCTGGCCCCCGGCCCTCCCACGCTGGCCCCCGGCCCTCCCACGCTGGCCCCCGGCCCTCCCACGCTGGCCCCCGGCCCTCCCACGCTGGCCCCCGGCCCTCCCACGCTGGCCCCCGGCCCTCCCACGCTGGCTGCCCCTCCCACACTTGTCCCGCCTCCCACACTGGGCCTCTCCTTCACCCTGTGGTTTTGATTAACCCTCTCCTTTCCTGTACAGATGGATCCTGTAGCGTGGAGCGCCGGGGGCCAGAGGAGAGCGACGAGTTTGACTGAGACCTGAAACCCAGCCCTGAGAGGAGGCAGAGCGTGACACAGAGACAGGCAGAGAGCGAGCTACAGAGAGAGCGCATCACTGCATAGGGAGAGAGAGAGAGAGCAACACTGCACAGTGAGTGAGAGAGAGTGTGAGAGAGACTGCCCAGTGAGTGAGTGAGAGAGAGAGAAACACAAATAGAACGACATTGCAGTAAGTAAGAGAGTGTGACAGCGAGCGACATTGCATTGTGAGAGAGACACTCAGACAGACAGAGAGAGGGAGACAGACAGAGAGAGGGAGACAGACAGAGAGAAGGAGACAGACACATACACACACAGACAGAGAGAGACACAGAGAGAGACACACACACACACACAGAGTTATCAACTGCACAATGAGAGAGAGAGTGACAGAGAGAGAGGGAGAGAAGCATTTATTTAGCGCTCTTCATGCGGGGTAGTGTCCCGGAGCACTTAAACAGAGAGAGAGAGAGACTCACTGCCCACTGCACAGTGAGAGAGGGGTCATTGCCTTACTACACAGTGAGACAAGAGATTGTGACACAGAGAGAGAGAGCATCACTGCCTCCACTGTACAATGAAAGAGAGAGAGTGCGGTCACTGCCCAGTGTGTGAGGGAATGTGAGTGACACAGAAAAGGAGTAGTCGGTGCACAACGAGAGCAAGAGTGTGAAACAGAGAGAGTCACTATTCTGTGAGCAAACTCGGCAGCCAATTTGTGCAAAGCGACATCTCATAAACAGCCATGACACGCCCTGGGGGGATTGTCAGCCAAGACACCGAGAGAGAGAAAGACATCCCTTTTCTTTACCCTCGGACAGTGCTGCGAGAGATCTTTAACGTCCGTCCTGAACAGAGCACAGGCGGGAGCTCGTATTCAAGGCCTCACTTGAATGATTGTACCTCCCTTTCGGATCGTAGTGGGGTGGGAAGACTTATTTCCTCTCTCAACAAAAGCAGACCAGACGAATGTTAGTTTTGATATGATTTATTTATACTGTGTATTTTTCCACAAATATAACACATTGAGGAATACACCAAGGACTGGGGTGAAACGATTTTCTCCACTCTGTATCCACAGCGCTGCTTGTTTCAATCTCCCTGACCTGTGTCAACAAAGGAAAGTTAATATCAACAACAACAAATGACACCGTAGTGAGCCTGCCACGTCAGGAGGATGTCCCAAGGAACTGGACAGTCAGGGATCCGCATATTGTATACACCCCACCTTTCGCTTCAGGAGGACGTCCCAAAGCGCTTCCTAGGATTCACTGTAAAGTGCAGCTACTGTGAGTTTTATAGCTAATTTGATAGGCGGTGTAGTGGGACCTTTACTGTGTCTGTAACCCTGACCTGGGAGTGTGGACGGACACACAGTGTAGAGGAGCTTTACTGTGTCTCTAACCCTGACCTGGGAGTGTGGACACACAGTGTAGAGGAGCTTTACTGTGTCTCTAACCCTGACCTGGGAGTGTGGACACACAGTGTAGAGCTTTACTGTGTCTCTAACCCTGACCTGGGAGTGTGGACACACAGTGTAGAGCTTTACTGTGTCTGTAACCCTGACCTGGGAGTGTGGACGGACACACAGTGTAGAGGAGCTTTACTGTGTCTCTAACCCTGACCTGGGAGTGTGGACGGACGCAGTGTAGAGGAGCGTTACTGTGTCTCTGATGCTAAGAGTCTAACCTCACCTTGTGGATATGCCTCAATGAAATAGGCCAGAGCCTGTAACAAAATGTCCTGGATCTCCCCTGAGCGAGCTCTGTCTCCCTTCACGGGCTGTTGGGGTGAAGGATCCACCTGTAACACATCAGTTAACGCAGTGCAAAGCTGTGTAGGCACAGTGGATCACTTTTCACAGCACTTTACTGCGACCTGAGTTTACATAGTGCTGGTCAAGCAGGGTAGCGTCTCGGAACGCTTAACCATGGCGGAGCCTGGCGCTGGGGAGGGGGAGGTGAACGTAGGTGCGGTCGAAGAGGAAGGTCTTCCGGTGAGATGTGTAGAGAAGTGAATGTGGAGGAGTAGAGGCCGGGGAGAGAGAGAGCGAGAGGTGTGTGGGAGTCAGAATTTACTGTGAAGTGTGGTGACTGCGTGTTTTGTGCGTGAACCCGAGAGCCAGTTTGCGCTCAGCAACGTCCCCACAAACGGCAAAGGGAATGAGCAATTTTTAGGGAGGAGGGATGTCACGTCACTCACCCAGTCACCCACAGCGTGGTTGCCCTTTGCCTCGGTGTCCATCACTCCAGCGTACAAATCCCGTCTGGTGCTGGGTTTCTGCCCGGGAGAAAGAGAGGAAGCCTTTGCTGGTCAGTAACAAGCCGAGAGCCTCGTCCTCTCCTACACATCCATCCCTTCACACCCGAGCACCTCCTGATCTCAGCCACTGTAACGTCTCATCCGAAGGATGATCACGGGTTTCCGTGTGTGACAGACACCCGGCCGGTCACGGTGACGGGTTTCCGTGTGTCAGACACCCGGCAAGTCACGGTGACGGGTTTCCGTGTGTGTGTGTCAGACACTCGGCCGGTCACGGTGACGGGTCTCCGTGTGTGTCAGACACCCGGCCGGTCACGGTGACGGGTTTCCGTGTGTCAGACACCCGGTCGGTCACGGTGATGGGTTTCCGCGTATGGCAGACACCACAATAAACTGCATGGCAGAGCTGTGCCTTTACCTTGTTGCTGCTTGCTCGGCCGTTCTCCCTGGCGAGGGGGTGGAAGCTCACACCAGCGTCACTCTCCGCCGGGAACAGGATGATGAACGTACAGAAGGCGAGAGCCAGGAGGGGAACATTATTCCTCATGGTGATCACTGACATCAGACAGACACAGAATCAGCCCTTGTCTCAGCCTTGAGAGAAGACCAACACCTGAACAGGGGAACAAGCGGGGAGTGAGTGAGGTTTAACGTCTCCTCCGAAGGATGGTGCCTCTGACAATGTACCACACCCCCAGGGCTGTGTTCAAGTGTCAGCTTAGACTAAGTGATTCCATGTGCTGACGTGGGGAGGCTTGAACCCACAACCTTCTGCCTCAGAGATGAGTGAGTGAGTGACTGAGCCAGGCTGATGCACGTTAATAATAATAATAATAATAGTAATAATTGCATTTGATACAGCACCTTATCACGCCTTGCAACGTCTCAAAGCGCTTCACAGGATTTAGTGTAAAGTGTAGTGACTTTGTATTTTGTGGGCGAAACACGGCAGCCAATTACGCCCAATGACGTCCCCACAAACAGTCATGGATTGAGTGAGCAAAATATTATTATTTTGGAGAGTTTATTACCTCTGTAAAGGCATCCGCCAATCGACAAACAAGAGGCTTCCTACTTGCTGCTCGGTGAACAGATGCGCATGTGGGGAGTAAGGAAACTTGCCAAAGGCTTCACCCCGCCCGGGAATCAAACCCAGGTCCTCTCGCTTGCGAGGCGAGTGCTCTACGCTACCGGGCTCCACGTTTGAACCCACAACCTTCTGCCTCAGAGGTGAGAGTGTGAGCAACTGATCTATGCTGAGGAACATTACAGTGAGAAAGGGAAAGGTTAGGGCTGTACTCACATTTGATGCCTTCCACCACGCTGGGGACAGAGAGAAGCTGTGAATGAGCTCTGGGCTTCGTGTGAGGGGCATTTATACAGGTCTGGGGAGGAAGGGGGAATTTGATCTTAATCTGAGCCCCAGCCGAGAGCACACACACCCCAGATATTTCCATGTGTGAGCCATTAAGATGCCCGCCTCGCCTGGTAACTGCAGCGCAGGTGTGTTTGTGAAGCTGGGAATGGGAGGCTGGTTATCTGACATTCTCGCTGTCGAGACTAGATTCCTCTCGGTTATTTGCCCACTGCCTCAGTCTCTCGGAGAGACGGTTACGCAGCTGTGAGTTTAGGGGTTTTGTGTTGATAACGTTTGATACGGCGCCTTTCACCTCTCTGGGTGGGACCTCCGCAAGCACTTTGCATGGTTTCACTGTCGAGGAGAGACTGTGTGTTTTGTGACTGTGGGAGCGCACATCGCGGATTAGGAGCAATGTCTTTGCACTGAGGGCGGTGAGTGTGTGGAACTCATTCACTGCTGTTCATTGTGTGTGTGTGTGTGATTGTTTGTGAGCAAATGTATGCGAGTGTGTAATTGTTTCATTCTGAGTTTGTGTGTGAGCGAGTCTGTGCGGTTGTGTGTTTCACTTGTTTGTGTGTGTGAACGAGTGTATGTGTGTAATTGTGTGTTTCACTATGTGTGAGTGTGTCTGTGTGTGGTTGTGTGTTTCACTCGGTTGTGTGCGTGCGCGAGTGAGTGAGTCTGTGTGTGATTGTGTGTTTCACTTGTCTGTGTGTGCGCGCGAGTCTGTTGGTGATTGTGTTTTCACTTGGTTGTGCGTGTGAGCGAGTGTGTGTGTGTGTGTGTTTCTGGGTGTATGTGATATAACTGATGATGTACATACAAAAGTCAGCCCACACGTCTCTCCAGGTCTTTGTCAAACTTTTAATTTTGATTAAAAAAAAACCTTAATGTCAATCATTCCATTTACAGGCCATGTAAAGTCCCCCTTCCCCCCCCCCACCCCCCCCCCCACACACATACACACACAGCACTGCCCGTGGTCATCGGGGTGGGGGGCGGGCGAGAGAAGGGAGTTTCTCTCTCACTCTCTCCTGATGTCCTGGCCAACATTCCTCCAGATAATTGCTCGCTCGCTTCATGACTGTTTGTGAGGACGTCGCTGGGGCCCAAATTAGCTAAACGCACACTTACTACACTTTGTAGAAAAAATCCTGTGAAGCGCTTTGGCACAGCCTGACGTGAAAGGTGCTGAACTAAATGGAAGGAGTGTCAGTAGCATTGATAATAATGAAGTAGGAATTGTTGTACCGAGTTCCTGGGCAAGGCAGGAGGACAGAGTGAACTCCCACCCTCTCTCTCCCTCCCACACTCTCCCTCTATCCCTCTCCTTGTCTCACACCCCCTCGCTCTCTTCCCCCCCCCACCCTCTCTCACTGCTGTTTCTCCCCCTTGCCCTTGATGGTTTGGTGGGTGAGGTGGGTGAGGAAGAGGAAGGAGAAGTGGATCTGGAGCACGTCACAGACCTTGGACCAGAAGTGTCCAGAGAGCCTGTGGAAGAGCTGCCACTGGCCGAGCCAGGCATCGAGGAGCTTGAGACCGACGAAGCCGGCGCAGGACGTGATGGCTAACAGCAGCCATCGCCTGGAGACACCGTCCCCCACCCTCCACTGCACCCCCACGCCCACCACGATAGCCAGCGCCACGTGACAGGCCAGGGCCAGCTCGAACCCCTGGGGGACAGCCAGGGCCAGCAGGTAACTGCCCAGCGAGGCAGCCTCTATAGCCCGCCACAGGCCCGGCCTCCAACCCTGCAACAGGAACAGGCACCAGACCGGGACCCAGGCGAAGATGGGCAGAGTGAACCACTGGTCCAGCACGGCCGCCGGGTGCCTCTGGCTGGCGATGCGGGCCGCCTGGACCAGCCCGTAGCCCGCGACCATCCAGCCGAACACGTGGCTGACATAGCGTCCGTGCCTCCCGCCCGCGGCCTCCTCCCCCCGCCTCAGCCAGTGCCAGCCCAGCGCCACGTAGCCCAGATTGACCAGGGCGTTGCCGGGCAGGGTCAAGCCCCTGGGCATCCAGGCCACCTGCCGCTCGGCGTAGCTCTCCAGCCCCAGCTCGGTCTGCACCCCGTCGAATACCCCGCTCCACACCGCGGCCACGCACGCGGCCGCGCCCAGCAGCACATGGCACAGAGCCAGTCTGCGGGCGGACATCCTTCGCTCTCCTCCTCTCTCGCTCCCTCGCTCTGCGCAGCTCTCGGGGGGGGTCCAGGTGGCAAAGGCGACGTGTTAGTAGCGCAGTCCGGTGTTGCTCTTTGTGTGGTGGTTTATCGGTTGGTTCTTGTCCTTCGTGGCAGGAAAGGTGTACGTAAACGTGCGGTAGTGCACCGTAGTATCGTGGTTAGTTAGTGCGCTCGCCGTGCAAGCGAGAGAACCCGGGTTCGGTTCCCAACCGGGCGGGCAGCACGAGACCTTGGGCAAGTGTACTTATTCAGGACACTCAGTCAGTAGGAACCCGCTTGTTCGTCGATTGGCGGATTATTTTCCGGGGGTAACAGTCCACACCAGAAAACCGGGGGTCACTCCACCCACGGCTGTGTGTGGGTCCGTCGCTGGGCGCAATGGGCTGCCGCGTTTCGCCCACAAAACGTACAGTCACTTCACTTTACGGTGCGTCTTCTTGTGAAGCGCTTTGAGGCGTCTCGACGATGCGGTTCGATGTTGGCGAGTGTGAAACCCTGCAGTGGCTTATGCAGTTTGCTGCTGCTGTTGGGTTGGCTCAGTCTCGTGTCTCTCTCTACGTTTCTCTTTCGCCTCTGAGTGTCTCCCGGTCGGTCTCTGTCCCACCGTCTCCTCCCGCTTGTGGGACGGCGACCCCTCTCGCCTCCCTCCTGTCTCCGGGGAGCTTTTTCCGAGCCCTGCACCCCCGGACCCGCAGCTCCAGCGACTTTGGAACTGGGGACTGGGAGGACCGGTCAAATTTCACTTTCATTTCAAATGTCTCAGCCTCGGCTCTTAAAGCTGCACGGTTTCCCCCCTCACTTCCTCCCTGCAGCGCGTCTCTTCCGTTCCTGTCCATCTCCCTTAATTAAGCGAAAGAAAAATCTCTCTCTCTCTCTCTCTCTCTCCCCACACCGCCCCCCTGGTGTCCTGGCCGACAGACAGAGCCGCTCGCTCGCTTCTCGGCCTTTCGCGGAGGAGGCCCGCGGCCCGCAAGACACTTCATTAAAGGATTATTATTTGTAGTGGCGTTAGTGGCCGAGTAGTTAGAGCGCTCGCCTCACAACCGGGGCAAAGCTGTAGGCAAGTTTCCTTACTCCGCACAGACACACACACACCCCCCCCCACGCGCCTGTGTCCCGGCAGTCAGTAGGAACCCGTTTGTCAGGCGATTGGGGGATCACTTTCCGGGGGGAATAATCCCTTCAAAACAATAATAATAATTCAGTGGCTTCAACCCCGCAGCTGTTTTGGGGGGACGTCGCCGGGCGCGATCGGCTGCCGGGTTCGGCCCCCGAAACACACGCACAGTCGCTACACTTGACGGTGTATCCTGTGAAGCGCTTTGAGACGTCTCGACGACGTGATCGGGCGCCGGGTCCACACGCCGGGATTATTATTATTATTATTGGAGTCCTGTAGCTCACTCGCGCACTCCGCACACACAGCCCTGATAATAATCCCTCCCGGAGAAAACAATAATAAATCGGTCACTTTCAACCCACGGCTGTCTGTGGGGCCGACGCCGCTGTGCGCAATCGGCCGCCGTGTTTTGCCCACAAATATACCGTCAATTCACTTTACAGTGTGTCCTGTGAAGCGCTTTGGGACGTCCTCCTGACGTGAAAAGCGCTATATCAAATGCAAAGATTATTATTATTATTATTATTATGTAAATCTATGTGTATTATCTGCTTCAATGGCCACTGATGGGAGTGAGTCCCGCACAGTGCTGCCCTCTGTCTGAAGAAGTTCCTTCTGTATTCCCATTTCAATCCTCAGTCACTGTCTTACACTCGTGTTTCTCCGTGAAGTCTCGGTCACAAATAGGGACCTCCTGTTATAGAGCTGTGACACCGTGTTGTATTGGTGTCACTTGTGGGACTGCAATCAGTGCTGTCGCTCAGGGGGAGTCCTGTAGCTCAGGGGTTAGAGCACTCGCTTTGTGAGTGAGAGACCTGAGATCATTTCCAGACAGAGGGCCAAACCTCGGGCAAGTTTCCTTACTCCACACAGAGCCCTAATAATAATAATAATAATCCTCCAAAACAAAAACAATAATAAATTGGTCATTTTCAACCCACGACTGTTTGTGGGACATTGCTGTGCGCAATTGGCCGCCGCGTTCGCCCACAAATATACAGTCACTACACTTTACAGTGTGTCCTGTGAAGCGCTTTGGGACGTCGAGAAGACGTGAAAAGCGCTATATCAAATGCAAAGGATTATTATTATTATTATTGTGATTAATATGAAACCCCCTTTAAGTGGTGTATGGGCGTGGCGTGGCGACGCAGGGGAGGCGCGCGTGGCGTGGTGACGCAGGGCTGCCGTGCGTGGCGTGGTGACGCAGGGGAGGCGCGCGTGGCGTGGTGACGCAGTGCGTGGGTTACGGTTGCGATGGTGACGGTCTCCGCCGCTGTGGGGAGACGCGGTGTTTGGCGGTGGCGGCGCCTCCCGGGGGCCGCGGGGTAGTGGGGGTCCGGCATTCCTGGCGGATGGAGCGGTACAGCCTCCTGGGCCGCGTGGGGGAGGGAGCGCACGGCATCGTGTTCAAGGCCAAAGACGTGGAGGTCAGAGTCACCGGGGGGATCCGGGGGGTAGTGGGGGGCCCCGGGGGGGGGGGTCCGGGGGGTAGTGGGGGATCCGGGGGACACACACACACAGACACACACACACAGAGATACACACAGACACACACACACAGAGATACACACAGACACACACACACAGACAGATATATACACACACAGACACACACACACAGATATATACACACACAGATATACACACAGACACACACACACACACACAGATACACACACAGACACACACACACAGATATACACACAGACACACACACAGATACACACACAGATATACACACACAGATATACACACAGACACACACACAGATACACACACACACATAGACACACAGATATACACACACACAGATATACACACACAGATATACACACACAGATATACACAGACACACACAGTTATACACACACAGATATACACACAGACACACACAGATACACACACACACAGATATACACACACACACACACAGACACACACATACAGACAGACAGATATATACAGACAGACACACACACACACACACACACACAGACCGATATACAAACACACATACACAGATACACACACACACACACAGACAGATATACACACAGACACACACACACAGATATACACACAGACACACACACACAGATATACACACAGACACACACACACAGATATACACACAGACACACACACACAGATATACACACACACACAGATATACACACACACACACAGACAGATATATACAGATACACACACACACAAAGACAGACCCATATATACACACACACACGCACAGATATACATGGACACGCACAGAGACATTGATGCACACAGACCGAGACACACACATGGCTGTGTTTACCAATAGTAAGTAGGAACCCTCTTGTGTGTTACAGTTACACAAACTGGCGAGGGCCGGGGTGATGGGGGGACGGGGTTCAGGGGGTGAGGGGGAGCCAGTGGGGGCTGGCGAGGGCTGCGGGTGATGGGAGGACGGGGTTCAGGGGGTGAGGGGGGCCTGGCGAGGGCTGAGGTGATGGGGGGACGGGGTTCAGGGGGTGAGGGGGAGCCAGTGGCGGCTGGCGTGATGTATATATATAATAGTCCTTGCATTTATGAAGCGCTTTTCACTTTATCCACTATAAAATGGCAGCGACATTGTATTGTCTGTTTGCTCCCCACTCAGACTGGCGATACGGTGGCCCTGAAGAAGGTGGCCCTGCGTAAGCTGGACGAGGGAATCCCGAACCAGGCTCTGAGGGAGATCAAAGCTCTGCAGGAGATCGAGGATAACCAGCACGTGAGTGTGTGAGAGACATGAAGAGGATTAGCGTACATTCTTGCCTGTCTGTATTTTTCATCTGACTCACTGTCATCTTCAGTGTTTCACTATCCTCTTTCACACACTCACTGTTAGAGTCTTTCTCTCTCCCCCTCCCCCCTTTCCCCCTCCCCCCCTCTCCCCCCTCTCTCCCCCCCTCTCTCTCCCCCTCTCTCCCCCCCCCCTCCCCCTCCCCCCCTTTCCCCCTCTTTATCTCTCTCACCCACTCCTCTGTTTATGTAACAGGTGGTGAAGCTAAGAGAAGTGTTTCCGCACGGCACAGGCTTTGTGCTGGTGTTTGAGTACATGTTGTCTGACCTGTCTGAGGTCATCCGCAACTCCGATCGACCTCTGACTGAGTCCCAGGTCAAGGGTTATATGATGATGCTGCTCAAGGGCCTGGCGTTCTGTCACGCCAACTCCATCATGCATCGGGTGAGATACGCAACACACACGCAACAAACATGCACAGAAACCCAACACAACACACACTTCTGTCACGTCAACTCCATAACCCACCAGGTAAGACACACAACACACACATACAAACAGACACACACACACGCACATATGAACAGACACGCACTCACACACAAACACTGTCATGCCAACGTCATCATGCACCGGGTGAGACACACATAGACATACATGCTTACGTACACATAGACACGCATTCGCTCTCTCTCTGGCCTCTCACTCCCCTCCTCCTCTCTCTCTCTCACTCTCTCCCTCTGGCCTCTCGCTCCCCCCCTCACTCTCTCTCTCTCTCTCTCTGGCCTCTCGCTCCCCCCCTCACTCTCTCTCTCTCTCTCTGGCCTCTCATCCCCCCCTCCGTCTCTCTCTCTGGCCTCTCACTCCCGCTGGACTGACCCTCTGCTCTGCTCATTGACAGGACCTGAAACCAGCCAACCTGCTGATCAGCTCCACAGGACACCTGAAAATCGCAGACTTTGGTCTGGCCAGAGTTTACTCCAACGAGGGCGACAGACTGTACAGCCACCAGGTGGCGACCAGGTCAGTGAGACAGACGGACAATCTGCCTCCCGGGCTGTGCCCTGTGCAGGTGGACGTTAAAGATCTTCCTGCGGGGCTATTCGAAAGGAGGAGGGAGTTTCTCTCTCTGTCTCTCCCGGTGTCCTAGAAAAATAGTAATAATAACAATAATCATCATCCTCGCATTTGATAATAAGAATAATCGTTGCATTCGATACAGCGCCTTATCACATCTTCGAGACGATTCAAAGCTATGATAAATCTTTATATAAAACACTGGTTGGGCCTCAGCGAGAGACTGTGCTCAGTTCAGGGCCCCACATGTTAGGAAGAACGTCAAGGCATTGGAGAGGGAGCAAAGGAGGTTGACCAGGATGGTACCAGGAATGAGTACTTCAGTTATCAGGAGAGACTGGAGAAGCCGGAGTTATTCTCCTTGGAGCAGAGAAGGTTAAGAGGAGCCTTAATAGAAGTTTTCAAAATGATGAGGGGATTCGATGGGGTGAAGAAGGAGAAGTGTTTTCACAGCGAGTTGTTGGGATCTGGAATCATTGCCTGAAAGGCCGGTGGGAGCCGATTCCATAACAACTTTTAAGAGAGAAGTAGATCATTATTTGGGGAGGACAAGTTTGCAGAGCTATGGGGAGAGAGCGGGGGAGTGGGGTTGATCAGGGCTATGGGGAGAGAGCGGGGGAGTGGGGTTGATCGGGGCTGTGGGGGGGGAGTGGGGGTTGATCGGGGCTGTGGGGAGAGAGCGGGGGAGTGGGGGTTGATCGGGGATGATGGAGTGTGTCTGTGTGGCAGGTGGTATCGGTCCCCAGAGCTGCTGTACGGAGCTCGCAGATACGATGAGGGTGTGGATCTCTGGTAAGTTACCCTGTGGGTGATCCCAATCTGTGTGTAGGAGTGGGGGGTAGCGAGAGGGGCAGAGGGGGGCAGGGGGGGCGAGAGGGGCAGGGGGTGATGGAGAAGGAGAGGGGAGAGAGGGCGAGGGGAGGCGAGAGGGGGAGGGGGTGACGGAGCGGGAGGGGGGCAAGAGGGGGAGGGATTGATGGAGAGGGAGGGGGGGGCGAGTCTTCGGGCAGCCTCTCTCTGTCTCAGTCTCTCTCTCTCTCTCTCTCTCTCTCAGGGCTGTGGGCTGTATATTTGGGGAACTCCTGAACAATTCCCCTCTGTTCCCCGGGGAGAACGATATTGAGCAGTTGTGCTGTGTGCTCCGTGTGCTGGGGACCCCCAACGAGACCATCTGGCCGGTGAGACTGTCCCTCCCTCTCTCTGTTCTGCAGGAGCTTAACTCGCTTACACTGCTGGCCTCTGGTCGCTGATTCTCTTCCCGGTTTTCCCAGGAGATCACCGAGCTTCCCGACTACAACAAGATCACCTTCAAGGAGAACCCTCCTATCCCACTGAGACACATCGTTCCTGACGCCGCCCCCGAGGCTGTGGATCTGCTCCAGAGATTCCTGGTCTATCCCTCGGCTCGGCGCATCCGAGCAGCTCAGGTAATAACCAATAATATTAATACTAATCAATGATAATAATCCCCATCCGAGCCGCTCAGGTAATCATCAAAATCAATAGTAATCTATAATCTGTGGTGTTCTGTAGCTCAGTGGTTACAGCCCTCGCCTCGCAAGTCAGGGTCAACCGTTGAGCAAATTTCCTTACTACTCATACACACACACACACACACACACACACGCACCCCCCCACGCGCCTGTGTCCCCGGCAGTCAGTAGGAATCGCTTGTCAGGCGATTGGGGGATCACTTTTCGGGGGTAATAATCCCTTCAAAACAATAATAATTTGGTCGCTTCAACCCCCGGCTGTTTGTGGGGACGTCGTTGGGTGCCATCGGCTGCCGCGTTTCACCCACAAAACGCACAGTCACTACACTTTACAGTGTGTCCTTTGAAGCGCTTTGAGACTCCTGACGACGTGATGAGGCGCCGGGTCAAATGTAAGGCTTATAGGATTATTATGTACGGTCTGCGGAGTGTGATTCGGTCTCTTCCCCCTCTTCTCTTCTCCCAGGCTCTCCTCCACCCCTATTTCTTCACGGAGCCCCTCCCGGCCCACCACTCTGAGCTGCCCATCCCCCACAGAGGCACAGCCAAAACACGCCAGGCTCTACAGCACCAGTATGAGGAGCAGGTGGAGAGGCCCCTCAGTGAGTCCGTGCTCGATCCTGACTGTGTCTGCCCCCACGCCAGGGTCTGGTGAGGGAGAGGGGAGAGGGGAGGTATGTGCGTGTCTGTGTGTGTGTGTGTGTGTGTGTGTGTATGTGGGTGTGTGTCTCAGCTCGCACTCTCGCCTCTGATTCCGCTCGACCGGCTCCGGCCTCCCCCTTGTCCCTTGTGCCCTCTGTTCCCCCATCGGTGAATTGGGTGCCGCGTTTCACCCACAAAAGCGCTTTGGGACGTCCTCCCACTGTGAAAAGCGCTGGGTCAAATGTAAGTATTATTACTATTTATTAATAATAAATAGTTGTTACGCCCCAGTTCACTGTCTCCCGTTCTCTCTTTTGAGTTATTTATTTCCCGTCTGCTTTCTGACTTGATATGACTTAGAACTCATACAAGTCTAAGCTGACACACCAGCACAGTGCTGGGGGGAGAGAGAGAGAGAGAGAGGGAGAGAGAGAGCGAGCACCACACTGTCAGCGGTGTCGTCTTGTGATGGGACGTTAAGCCTCACTCCCCGTCCGTGCCTCGTTCAGGTGGACGTTAAAGATCTCCCGCAGAGCTATTCGAAAAAAGAAGGGAGTTTCTCTCTCTCTCTCTCTCTCTCTCTCTCTCTCTCTCTTTGCTGGTGTCCTGGCCGACAATCCCCCAAATAAAATTGCTCGCTCGTTTCGCAGCTGTTTTTGGGGCCTTTGCTGCGTGCGACTTGGTTGTCTACAAAACTCACAGTGAACTGCGCTTTATGGTGAATTGCGGTGAAGCGCCTTGAGAGGTCCTCCCAATGCGAGAGGCGCCGTGTAAATATGAGGGGTGTTATCATTGTGGAGTCCTGTGGCTCGGTGGTTAGAGCACTCGCCTCTCAGGGAGACCTGGGTTCGATTCCCGGTCAATGCGAAATGTTGGGTAAGTTTCCTTACTCCGCGCGCGCGCGCACACACACGCACACGGGCACACACACGTGCCTCTTGCTGACCAGCAGTCAGTCGGAACCCGGTTGTTAGTCGATTGACAGATTTTCCGGCACTAATAATCCTCTCACAATAATAATTTTGGTCACTGAATCCACGGCTGTTTGCGGGGACGCTGCTGTGCGCAATTGGCTGCCGCGTGTCGCCCACAAAGTATAGAGTCAAGTCACTTTACAGTGTATCCTGTGAAGCGCTTTGAGACGTCGAGAAAACATGAAAGCGCTCTATCAAATGCAAGGATTGTTATTATTATTATTATTATTATTGAGTCCAGAGGTGGAATCCTGTATCTTATTATTGGAGCTCTCTCCTCGCAAGCAAGAGGACCTTGGTTCGAATCCCGGTCAGGGCGAAGCATTGGGCAACATTCCTTACTCCGCAGCCACACCCACACACACACCCACACACCCCCCCCTCCCCCCACACACACACACCCCTCTGTTTACCAGCAGTCAGTAGGAACCCGCTTGTTAGTCGATTGGGGGATCACTTTTCTGGGGGTAATAATCCCTTTTTTAAAAAAAAACGTAACGATAAAAATAGTAATGTGGTCACTCAATCCACATCTGTTTGTGGGGACGTCGCTGAGCGCAATTGGCCGCCGCGTTTCGCCCACACACTTTATATCCTGTGAAGCGCTTTGAGATGTTTCAAAGATGTGTTAAGGAGCTGTTTCTAATGCAATTATTGAGGGGCTGTGTGTTATTGAGGGGCCGTGTATAGTGTGAGGGTTATTGAGGGGCTGTGTATAGCGTGGGTTATTATTGAGGGGCTGTGTATTATTGAGGGGCTGTGTATTGAGGTTATTAGCAGTGTAGCAGTGTAACTGAGCTGCTGTTTGTGCCTTTGTCCCTTTTCCGTGCTGTGGCGTATCATGTCAGGGTCTGTGAAGCCGACAGTGGTTTCTCTGAATCCCTCTTATCTCCTCGCTGCACCCTCGCTCGCTCCCTGGTACGTCAGTGGGGACTATTGCCAAGCTGTGCTGTTCAACATCTGCTAGAGATAGCACGCTCTCCATGATGGGCGGGGAGAGGGGAGAGAGCGGGAACGGGAGGGAGGAGAAAAACGATTGTTTTTTTTTTGACACCCGCGCTGAAGCCCATCACCGTGACCGGCCGGGTGTCTGACACACAGGGAAACCCGTCGCCGTGACCGGCCGGGTGTCTGACACACACGGACAGCCGTCACCGTGACCGGCCGGGTGTCTGACACACAGGGAAACCCGTCGCCGTGACCGGCCGAGTGTCTGACACACACACACGGAAACCCGTCACCGTGACCGGCCGGGTGTCTGACACACAGGGAAACCCGTCGCCGTGACCGGCCGAGTGTCTGACACACACGGAAACCCGTCACCGTGACCGGACGGGTGTCTGACACACACGGAAACCCGTCACCGTGACCGGACGGGTGTCTGACACACACACACACGGAAACCCGTCACCGGGTAGAGTCTCCGAAATAAGACTGAGAGACGCAGGTGTGGAGCCACTCTCAAACCCCCACCACCCCTTGCCCTCCAGCCCCCAGTTCGGGTGCAAATCCCCAACTGTTCAGTCCAACGCCTTTGGACGCCCTCCTGACGTGAAAGGCAGGTGCTGTGTGAATGTCATGTGTTGTTGTTGTTGTTGTACATGCCACTTACACACCGAATCTCCCTGTGTCCGCGAGGGAGGGGAGTGCGCACTCGCTCTTTATGTCGGTCTGTATGTCTCTGGAGGGACGCACCACACTTACCTAACACCAGAGTGTTGGTGCAGAGACACACGACTTGGGGGGTGGGGGGGGGCCCAGGGTGTGCGTTGGTGTAATTGTTGGGAGTCTAACCAGCTAAACCCACACAGCTTGGCCATCGAGAGAGAGAGAGAGAGAGAGAGAGAGTGGCTGTCTGGCCAAGCTTTCCCGCTGCTTGTCCAGCCAGGACCCCCCTCCCCGTTAGTTAGTTAAGGCTTTGGCTGCGGGGTTAACAGGAGCTGAGGGGGAGGATTCCCTGCCCCCAGTGACTGGTCGGCCCTTCCAGGCTGGGCCGGGCTGCCATCAGCAGTGAGTGGCCTGGGATACTGCGGCCCCTCCTGGCTCAGGACCCAGACTTAGGGGAGGAAAAAGCCAGGAGTGGGGTCAGAGTAGAGTGTTGGTGTGGGGGGGGAGCGAGCCCCAGCACAGACACCATGAGGGAGGGGAGAGAGAGGGAGAGAGAGCAGGGGGACAGGGCTGGAGTGGAGAGCGTCAGGGTGTTGGGGGGAGCGAGCACCAACGTGCTTTACTCACTATGTGGCTCGGGCAAATACTTCAATCAGATAAATTGTCTTATCAGCGCTGTGCAGAGAGGGGAGAGGATGGTTCGCCTCCTAACGACTGTTGGGCAGAGAGAGAGACCCATAACTGACACTTGGCTCACTGTGTGTGTGTGTGTGTGTGTGTGTGTGTGTCAGCCTGGCTCAGTTACTCGCCCACTCTCTCGCCTCCCGAGTCAGAAAGTTGTGGGTTCAAGCCCCCCACACACTTTGAGCGTCCTTATGGGTGGGGGAGAGAGAGCGAGAGGGCTGTATTGTCAGAGACGCCATCCTTCGGATCAGACGTTAAACCGAGCTCCGCACCTGCCCGTTCAGGCAGTTCACGTTAAACATCCCACGGCGCTGGACGAAAAGAGGAGGGAGTTCCTTTCCGTCCCGGTCTCCTGCCCGACAGTCCCCCAAATTAAACCTGTCGCTCGCTCCATGGCTGCTCGTGGGGACGCTGCCGTGTTTCGCCCACACAACACAGTCACTACGCTTCGCAGTGTATCCTGTGAAGCGCTGTGAGACGTCTCGAAAACGTGAAAAGGCGCTGTATCCCAATGCAAGGATTATTACATGATATTATTATTATATTGTTGTTGTTATTAAGGGGATTATTGCTTCCCTGTAATTGCGACGTGTTGGTTGTTTGCAGGTCTGTCTTGGCAGTTCACATCAGACCCGGATCTGGCAGGAATAGAGGGAGAGGTTTTGAGTGATACACAGAAGTCTTTGCTTCCGACTGCTCCAGGCAGGAAACTCGCATCGCTCCCCACTCCTTTCCTCCGTTCCCTGCTGTTTGAGATTAAAGCTCCCGACGCCCAACTGCTAATTTAGCAGCCTTCTTACCGACCATCCCTGTGTCCCCTTCTCTCTCCCCTTCCCTCCCTCCCTCCCTCCCGCCGTAGGGAGAGAGCACCGTATTGTTGGAGACCTTAAGCCTCGCTCATTCCCCCACCCGTCCCCGTCCGTTCCCTGTTCGCGGACGTTCAAGGACATCAAGGGAGCTTTGAGCTCACAGTCCAGGCTGATGCTCCAGCACAGCGATGGAGGGGGAGAGAGAGAGAGAGAGATGCATTGTCAGACACGTTAAACCCCGCTCACTACCCCCACCCCGTCTGTGCTCTGTTCAGGGCGGACATTGTAGATCTCCCCCCGCGGCTCTGTCGGGGGTAAAAGAGAGGGAGTTTCTCTCTCTCTGTCTCTCTCTCTCTCTCTCTCCCGGTGTCCTGGCCAACAGATAAAACCGCTGGCTCGCTTCGCGGCTGTTTGTGGGGACGTCGCCTCGCGCAAAAAAAAGGGTCTGTCCGCAAAACACACAGTCACTACACTTTGTGTATACACACACACACACACACACACACACACAAGAGTCACTCCACTTTATAACAAAACCCTGCAAAGCCCTTTGAGACGTCAGAGCTCAGGCACTGCGTCAGATTTAAGGACGACTGTTATTGTTTATTATCATTTAACCAGAACAGCAAAATGGATCCGAACCTCAGATGGGAGGATGGAGATTCGGAAAACAGTCGAGGGAGAGAGAGAGAGAGGGGGGACCGAGAGAGAGAAGAGAGAGAGAGAGAGGGGCGTGTCTCTACTTCTAACCAGTCACCAACTTTGACAATCCTACTCCTGCTTTAAGTGTCACTTTGGAGAGAGACAAGAGCGATATAGAGAGAGGGAGAGAGAGAGGAAGGGAGGGTGACGGGGTGAGAGACCAAGATAGAGAGAGAGATAGAGTGCGATTGACAGGACGAGAGAGATAGAGCCGACGAGAGAGAGCAGAGCGAGAGAGAGAGAGAGACCGAGACAGAGAGATGAGAGAGTAGAGACAGTGAGAGAGAGAGAGAGAGAGAGCGACAAGACAGACATGAGAGCGTGAGAGATAGAGACGAGAGAGATAGAGACAGAGTGAGAGAGACGAGCGAGAGAGTCAGCGATAGAGGGAGACGAGAGATAGAGACAGCGATAGAGGGAGACGAGAGATAGAGACAGCGAGAGATAGAGAGAGACAAGCTAGAGGGTGAGATAGAAACGGTGAGGTGAGGGATAGAGAGCGAGTGACAGAAAGAGACAAGACAGAGGGTGAGATAGAGAGACAGACTGTGAGATTTCAGAGAAGAGATAGAGACTGAGTGACAGAGAGAGGGATAGAGACAAGACAGAGAGAGAGAGAGAGAGACCGAGTGAGTGATAGAGAGACAGACTAGAGATAGAGAGAGAGAGACTGGGTGAGTGAGAGAGAGAGACAGAGACAAGACAGAGTGAGAGACAGGGAGAGACAAGAGAGATAGAGACCGAGCGAGTGAGAGAGACGGAGAGAGAAGCGGAGAGAGAGTTTGCGGTGTTTTAAGTGCTCTTCACACACAAACAGGTCAGTAACATCTGAAGTAATGCAGTTCTACTCCTCGTCCCTCGGCTCAATTTATTTAGAGTTTTTGGAACTTCCGAGCTGCCGCCTGCTCTCTGGTAATGCCCTTCACGGCTGTTTGTGGGGATGCCCCCGGGCGCAAACCTGGCTGCCGCGATTCCCTCACAAAACACAAAGTCACTGCGCTTTACGGTGTACCCTGAGACGTCCTCCCGACATGATAAGGCGTCATGTGAAATGCAAAGATTATTATTGCTGTATCCTCTTTCACTCGGTCTCTGTCTCGGTCGCTCTGTCTCTATCTCTGTCTCTATCTCCCTCGCTCTGTCACTCTTATCTTCGGTCTCTCTTATCTGTCTCTATCAGTTTCTCAGTGTGTCCAACTCGGTCTCTGTTTCTGTCTCCCTATCTCTGTGTCTCTGTCGCAGTCTCGGTCTCTCTATCTGTCGCTCAGTGTTTCTGTGTCCAGCTCAGTCTCTCGTGTCTATCTCAGTCTCTCCCTCTCACTATCTCAATCCCTTGGTCTTTCTGTCTTGGTCTCTCTATTTCTATCTCTATCTCAATCTCTCGTTATCCAGATCTCTGTCTCTCTGTCTCTATCACGATCTCTCTGTCTCTATCACGATCTCTCAGTCTCTATCACGATCTCTCTGTCTCTATCACAATCTCTCAGTCTCTATCACGATCTCTCAGTCTCTCTGTCTCTATCACGATCTCTCTGTCTCTATCACGATCTCTCTGTCTCTATCACGATCTCTCTGTCTCTGTCACGATCTCTCAGTCTCTATCACGATCTCTCAGTCTCTCTGTCTCTATCACGATCTCTCTGTCTCTATCACGATCTCTCTGTCTCTGTCACGATCTCTCAGTCTCTCTGTCTCTATCACGATCTCTCAGTCTCTCTGTCTCTATCACGATCTCTCTATCACGATCTCTCAGTCTCTCTGTCTCTATCACAATCTCTCTGTCTCTATCACGATCTCTCAGTCTCTATCACGATCTCTCTGTCTCTATCACGATCTCTCTATCACGATCTCTCTGTCTCTATCACAATCTCTCTGTCTCTATCACGATCTCTCTGTCTCTATCACGATCTCTCTGTCTCTATCACGATCTCTCTATCACGATCTCTCTGTCTCTATCACGATCTCTCTATCACGATCTCTCTGTCTCTATCACGATCTCTCTGTCTCTATCACGATCTCTCTATCACGATCTCTCTGTCTCTATCACAATCTCTCTGTCTCTATCACGATCTCTCTGTCTCTATCACAATCTCTCTGTCTCTATCACGATCTCTCTGTCTCTATCACGATCTCTCTATCACGATCTCTCAGTCTCTATCACGATCTCTCTGTCTCTATCACGATCTCTCAGTCTCTATCACGATCTCTCTGTCTCTATCACGATCTCTCTGTCTCTATCACGATCTCTCTGTCTCTATCACGATCTCTCAGTCTCTATCACGATCTCTCTGTCTCTATCACGATCTCTCTGTCTCTATCACAATCTCTCTGTCTCTATCTCGATCTCTCTGTCTTTGGGCGCAATCAGCTGCTGTGTTTTGCCCACAAAACACACAGTCGCTACACTTTACAGCGTGTCCCGTGAAGAGCTTTGAGACGTCTCGAAGACGTAATAAGGCGCCGGGACAAAAGCAAGGATTATTATTATTATTATTACTATTATAATTAGCCTCCCCTGTGTTATAGAGAATAACACCACTCTCTGTCTCTCTCCCGCTCTCTCTCTGTCTGTTCCCGGAGCGCTGGGAGACGCTCTGTAAGAGTGCTTTGCTGCTGAGAGGTGTGCAGTTGTGTCGCTGGGTTAACACCGTTTCGGGTGCTGTCCCTCAGGTGCTGTTGAGTGCTGTGGCGGAGCAGGATGGACGAGGCACTGAACCCCAGCCCCTGGCTGGACCAGGTGTCAGGGTCTGTGTCCGGCCCAGGACGAGACGCTGGCCTTCACTACACTGACGAGATATCAGCCAAGCAAGCGGCTTTCTACAGCGAGGTCGATGAGGGTTGCAGCCCGGCTCCAGCTCCTCTCTCCTACAGCCCTGGTCACAGGCGATCTCACACCAGCTATCACAGTCAGTACTCAGTCTCTCTCGCCTAACACTAACGCTAACACTCGCGGGTCAGGGGCTTGTGGGGTCGGGCCCCTCACACACTCACACACACGGACAGACACACACACAGACAGACACACTGACACACACACAGACACCCCAGAGATGTTACACCTCACTCACTCCCCGTCTGTGAACGTTAAGGATCTCCCCCCACGGCGCTGTCGGGGGAGGGGGGCGCGGGGGGGTGGAGTGGGGGGGTGACGCTGGGGAGTGAAAGGAGTTTTTTTCTCTCTCTCCCCCTCTCCCGGTGTCCTGGCCGACATAAAAACGCTCGCTCACTTCACGGCTGTTTGTGGGGACGTCGTTGTGTGCAAACACGGGGGGCTGCCAGGAAACACAGTCACTACACTTTACTGCTGAGACATCTCAATGTCGTGATACGGCGCCGGGTCAAACGCCGGGAATATTATTATATGATTTATATTATATATGAGGATTGTGAACAATCATTATATCCCTCGCGCTCTCTCTCTGTCTCTCTGTCTGTCTCTGTCTGTGTGTGTCTCTCTCTCTCTGTCTCTCTATCTGAGGGTCTCTCTCTCTGTGTCTGTGTATGTGTGTCTCTCTCTGTCTGTTTCTGTCTGTCTGTCTGTCTGTCTGTGTGTGTGTCTCTCGCTCTGTGTCTGTCTCTGTGTCTGTGTCTTATCTCTCTCTTTCTCTCCCCACAGATCGCTCGCTGTGCCCCCCACACCCCCTGGCCTGGTTGGAGGGCGCGCCCTGGGGGGCTGCGGGGGGTGGGGGGAAGATGGGGTTCACGGCAACTGGGGTTCAAACCATGTACCCCTCCTCCCCCCCTCCCGGCCTGGCCTCCCAGTACCTGTACGGCTATGCCCCCCCGGCCCTGCTCAGACAGAGCGACCTGGAACCTCTGAGGATGGGGTTCACGGGGGAGAAGCTCAGTGCCCAGGGGGTGAAGCTGGAGAGGTGCAGCCCACTGAACCCCGAACTCTGCCCCCTGGGGACTGAGCCCCTGCTGGCCTCGCCCGGCTTCTCCCACTTTGCCCCCGTACAGGGGTTCACTGCAGGGTTTTACGGGACCCCCCACTCGGGATACCTGGAGGAGGCGACGGCAGGAAAACTCAGGAACAGGAGGAGTTTGTCCCCCTCTGGTGAGTAATACTCTGAGTCTGGGCCGGGGTGGGGGGGGTGGGGGGAAGGGGGCAATGGGGAATAGTCTGATCTGAGGGTTACTCACAGTCACACGACGCACACACAGTCTCTCACACACACACAGTCTATCACACACACAGTCACACGCACACACACACACACAGTCTCACACACACTGTCTATCACACACACAGTCACACGCACACACACACACACAGTCTCTCACACACACTGTCTATCACAAAGTCACACGCACAGTCTCACACACATACAGTCACACGCACACACACGGTCTCTCACACACACTGTCTCTATCACACAGTCACGTGCACACACACACTGTCTCTCATACCCACTCACATTTCACACACACACACACACACTCTCTCCCCCCCCCCTCCTGCTGACCCCTGGCCTGTGGCTGCCTTGCACAGAGTCGCGGGAGTGTGTGAATTGTGGAGCCACGGCCACTCCGCTGTGGCGGAGGGACGGCACCGGGCACTACCTGTGTAACGCCTGTGGGCTCTACCACAAGATGAACGGACAGAACCGGCCGCTCATCCGCCCCAAGAAACGCCTGGTGAGCAACTCTCTCCTGGCACTTTATCCACTACCTTCTGTACATCACTCACTCTCTCACACACTCTCTCACACTCTCTCTCTCTCACTCTCTCTCTCACACACTCTCTCTCACACACTCTCTCTCACACTCTCTCTATCTCACACACACTCTCTCTCACACACTCTCTCTCACACTCTCTCTATCTCACACACACTCTCTCTCAGACACACTCTCTCTCTCACACTCACTCACACTCTCTCTTTCTCACACTCTCTTTCTCACTCTCTCTCCCACACTCTCTCTCTCACACTCAACTCTCACACTCTCTCTCTCGCACTCTCTCTCTCACACTCTCTCTCTCACACTCTCTCTCTCTCTCTCACACACTCTCTCTCACTCACTCTCTCTCTCTCGCTGTTAGATTGTCAGTAAGAGGGCTGGCACACAGTGCGCTAACTGCCACACTTGCACCACCACACTGTGGAGACGTAACGCCACTGGAGATCCTGTGTGTAACGCCTGCGGCCTTTACTACAAACTGCACAAAGTGAGTCACCCTCTGCCTGTGTGTGTGTGTCACACTGGTGTGTGTGAGTGTCTGTCATGCACTCCCTGCCCTGTACACACTGTGTGTCTATATTAGTGTATATTAGTGTGAGTGTATTAGTGTGTGTGTGTATTAGTGAGTGTGTGTGTGTATTCGTGTGTGTGGTGTGTGTTGGTGTGTGTATTAGTGAGTGTGTATCAGTGAGTGTGTATATTAGTGAGTTTGTGTGTATTAGTGAGTGTGTGTGTATTAGTGTGTGTGTGTATTAGTGTGTGTGTGTATTAGTGTGTGTGTGTGTGTGAGTGACACTTATGCACAAAATGTCCACTGTATCGCACAGAAAAAGCACATTCTCATGGTCTCTCTCTCTCTCCAACTCCCTCTACCCTCCTTTCTCCCCCCCCACCTCTCTCTCTCTCTCTCTCTCTCCCTCTTTCCTCCCTCTCTTCCCCTCCCTCCCTCTCTCTCTCCCCCTCCCTCTCCCACCCCTTTCTCTGTCTCTCTCTCTCCCCCTCCCTCTATCCCCTCCCTCTCTCTCCCCCCTCCCTCTCTATCTCCCCCTCCCTCTGCCCCCTTTCTCTCCCCCTCCCTCTCCACCCCCTTTCTCTGTCTCTCTCTCCCTCCCTCTATCCCCTCCCCCTCTGCCCCCTCCCCCCCGGCAGGTGAACAGACCCCTGACTATGAAGAAGGACGGAATCCAGACCAGAAACCGCAAAGTCAACAGCAAATCCAAGAAGGGGAAGAAACACGTGGACAGCTACACAGCGACGTCCAAAGGCCTGACAGCCGAGGGGATTAGCTTCCCCTTAACCTCCGTCCCTCTCCCCAATCCCGGGCTGTCCTTGGATCCAGATTACCCCTACCCTCACCTCCTCGCCTCCCCCTCTGCCCTCCACCCTCTGTCCTACTCCCCTCAACTGCACCCAAGCCTCTGCTCCAATATGGTGTCCACCTTCGGTTAGGTAAGCAGTTCTGTTGTCTTGTAGTTATCAGCTACACAAGCGAGAGGACCCGGGGTTCAGTCCCCGGTCAGAGCAACACCTTAGGCAAGTTTCCTTACTCCACTCACACTCACTCACTAACACTCACACTGACTAACACACACACACACTCACTAACACTCACTAACACACTCACACACTCACTAACACTCATACACTCGCTAACACACACACTCACTAACACACTCACACACTCACTAACACACTCACTAACACTCACACACTCACTAACACTCACACACTCACTAACACTCATACACTCGCGAACACACACACTCACTAACACACTCACACACTCACTACACACTCACTAACACTCACACACTCACTAACACACACACACACACTCACTAACGCACACACACACACACACACAGACTAACGCACACACACTCACACACTAACACACACATTAACACACACGCACGCTCACATACACACACATATACACACACACACACACACACTCATGCACACACACACACACGCATATGCACACGCATATGCACACACTCACACACATATACACACTCATACACACATACAACTCCCCCCCAATTTATTAAACATACAATGTCACACGTGTAAAATACATTCAATTTCAATCACTTCATGTGCTGTCCTGTAGCTCAGTGGTTAGAGCACTCGGCTCGCAAGCCAGAGGACCTGGGTTCGATTCCCGGGCGGGTCACAGCGAAACCTTGGGCAAGTTTCCTTATTCCACACACACACACACACACAGACACACTATACACAAACACACACACACTACACTCACACACACACACAGACACACATGCTACACGCATGCACACTACACACACACACACTACACACACGCCTCTGTTTACCAGCAGTCAGTGGGAACCCGGTGGTCACTCAATCCACGACTGTTTGAGGGTCACTGCTGTGCCCAATTGGCTGCTGTTTTTCAATTCACTTTACAGTGTGTCCCGTGAAGCGCTTTGAGACGTCTCAAGGACCTGATCGAGGCGCTGGGCCAAACACCAGGGATATTATTATTAATATTAGGAATGATGTGTTTTGGGGCCAGATATTGAAACCCAACTCCTCTGGCCTCCTGCTCATCCCCTCCGCTCTGCCATCGGTGGCTGTGCTTCCAGTCACTACACCTCTGTCACTCCCTGCCCTCTACTCCTCCGCCTTCTCCCCCTCTTCACATCACGCCTGAACACCTCCGCTCGCTCTCTCTCTCTCTGCCCTCCTAGTCAGAAGGCTGTGGATTTGAGCGACTCACACACACACACACGCACACACCACACACACCCACACAGACACCCACACGCACACACACCCACAAACACACACACATCCACACACACAGACACGCACGCACGCACGCGCATACACAAACGCGCACACACACACGCGCACACACATACACACACGGGTGGTTGACGACTCAGAACCCGTATCGTCTTAAGTTGACGCTCCAGGGGTGGGTGGGGTGAGAGAGAGAGAGACACATTATAGTAGGTGTTAAACCTCACTCGCTCCCCACCTGTGCCCTGTTCAGGACGGATGTTAAGACATTGTGAAGTGCTGTGGGGCGTTACCCTGTGTGAGGGCGCTATTATAAATGCAAACTGTTGTTGATAAAGATCTCCCGCGGCTCTGTGTGGGGAGAGGGGTGGGGGGAGAAGGGAGCCCCTCTCTCTCTCTCTCTCTCTCTCTCTCTCTTTCGGTGTCCTGCCCGACAGATAAAACCCGCTGGGTTCTCACCCACAAGGTGCAGTCACTGCGCTTTACAGTGGATGCAGTGAAGCGCTTTGAGACGTCCTTCCACCGTGATACGACGCTGGGTCAAAGCGACTATTATTATCATTTTTCTCTGCTTCCCATCACTGCCCTTCACCTCTCTCTCTCTCTCTCTCTCTCCGCTCAATTTCAAAGGATTTCCAAAAAATATGTCTTATTTCTGTTTTTAATAAAAGTGTCATTTTGTGGTTTTTTTTAAATGGTGGATTCTCTCTCTCTCTGTCTCTGTCTCTTACACACTCACACTCTCTTACGCACTCGCACACACTCTTTCACACATTCTCTCACTGTGTCTCACTCACGCTCTCTGCTTTCTCTCTCACACTCTGTCTCTCACATACACTCTCACTCTATCTGTTTGTCCGTCTGTCTTGTTCTGTGTGTGTCTCTCTCTGTGTGTGTGTGCAAGCAAGCGCAGGCATGCGCGTGTGCAGGGGTGTGTGTGTGTGTGCAGGTGTGTGTGTGTGTGTGCAGGTGGGTGTGTGTGCAGCTGTGTTTGTGTGCAGGTGTATGTGTGCAAGTGTGCGTGTGTGTGTGTGTGCAGGTGTGTGTGTGTGTTCAGGTGGGTTGTGTGTGCAGGTGTGTATGTGTGCAGGTGTGTGTGTGTGCAGGTGTGTGTGTGTGTGCAGATGGGTTGTGTGTGCAGGTGTGTGTGTGCAGGTGGGTGTGTGTGTGCAGGTGGGTGTGTGTGTGCAGGTAGGTGTGTGTTTGCAGATGTGTGTGTGCAGGTGTGTGTGTGCGCGCGCGTGCACAGAGACACCGCTGTGTGCAAAACAGCTGCTGCATTTGCCAGCAAAAAAAACACAGTCACTACACCCACCGCCGATTCCTTGCGAAGCGCTCCTGACGTGAAAGATGACACGTCAAATCCAAGTGATTATTATTGTTGTTTATTAATAATGTGCAGATATCAGATGCGGTAACCTTGATCACCACAAGATGGCAGGAGTGATAGTGACATCCTTTACCCCTTTACCCCCTTCCTTATCACCTTCCCCCACTCCCTTACCAACCCTTCCCTCCCCTCCCCCGGAAGAACCGTGGCTCCATCTGGGCTCAGGGACCAGGCAACAGAGACAGAGAGAGACAACAACAACAATTTACATTTGTATAGCATCTTTCAAGACACAGAGAGACACAGAGAGAGACCGCGACAGGTGAAACTTAATGGCTACTGTAATCTGAGGTTAGGATTATGTAAGCGTTTTGCAGTGTGGTTTAATATGGAGGCCTGGAGAAGTGACCGGGATCCTGAGGAGAGAACTGGACATAGGGCTTGAAGCCTGGGTCTCAGCCCTTGAGGAGAGACCTGTATGTGGGCCTCGAGAAGGAGCCTGGTCTTGGGCCCTGAGGAGAGGCCTCGAATGAGACCTTGAGGAATGGCCTGGAATTAAGACCCAAGCAGAAACCTGGATGTAGGACCTGAGGAGCAGCCTAGGATGCAGGCCTTGAGCATTGGCCTGGTCTTGGGCCCTGAGAAGATATCTGAAGCCAAGCCTTGAGGATAAACCTGGATTCGGGCCAGAGGAGAGATGCGGACTGTGGCTTTGAGAACAAACCTGGACTCATACCCTGAGGAGAGACCTGGACGTGGGCCTGGAGGAGATACCTGGTGCGGAGTGGCCTGGAATAAGATCCTGAGGAGAGAAGCCAAGACAGAGGTATCTCCCTGAGCAGAGACCCGGGGCTGAGACATTGAGGAAGCACCTGGTCTGGGATCTTGAGGAGAGACTCGGACCTTGAGGAGTGGCCTGGAATGAGATCCTCAGGAAAAGACTGGCTGTAGGTCCTGAGGAGACACTGGTCTGGGGCCCTGAGGAGATCTGGGACTGAGGCTTTGAGTAGGAACCTAGACATAGGTGCAGAGGAGAGACCTGGAATAAGGAGAATTCTGGATTGAGGCCTTGAGGAGTGGCCTGGAATAGACCCTGAGGCCAAGCCTAGACTCCAGGCCCAAGGAGATCTAGACAGAGGCATTTAGGAGACATCTAGGACTTGGGCCTTGAGGAGGAACCTGGTGAAAGAAGGGAGGGGGTTTCATTAATGGACCCTCCCTCTATGATTATTACTCCGCTTTCTCCTTCCTCGCCCTGCAGCAGGACCTGACCAGCAGCCTGAGGGCGAGAGCGGTGAGGAGCAGGAGGAGACAGGCGGTGAGGAAGAAGGTAGCCAGGATATCCAGGGAGTGGTAGACCGCCCAGGGCAAGTCCAGGCTGGCCGATCTCAGGTGAGGAGCCCCCTTGTGTCTGAGCACAAACTCAATCCAGAACATGGCCCTATCCAGAGGGGTCTCGGGCTGGTCTCTGTGCAGCTCCGAGAGATGTCTCATGTTCTCCCTGTACGAGGAGTTCTGCAGGACATCGCTCAGGGCCTCCAGGAAGGTCGGGTCTCCAAATGGGTCACGTCCACTACTCTAGCCGCCCCTCGGGCCTCCAGCCTCACCAGGTTGTCAAACTGGTCGAAGATGAGAGGGATCCCGAGGACTGGGACCCCGTGATAGATGGCCTCATACAGACCGTTGGTGCCACCGTGAGACACGAAGGCCACGGTCTTGGGGTGTCCGAGCAGGTCGTTCTGCGGGACCCAGGGCGTCACTAGGGTGTTGTTGCCCACCTCCCCCGGAAGCTGACCCGGAAACCTCCACACCACCCGCTGAGGCAGGCGGGCGAACGCAGAGGCTATGTTGAGGAGCAGGTGCTCAGGTAAGTCAGTGACCAGTGTCCCCAGGGACATGAAGACCACCCCATGTGGCCCGGACCCCGCGACAAAGTCCTCGAGGTCGCGGGGCAGGGGCTTGGCCGGCCGGCACTGGAACCCCCCCACGTACACCATGTTGGGCATGGAGGGCCGCGGGAACTCGAAGACAAAGTCCACTCTCATCAGCCACAGGTCAGCCGAATGGACGAGGCTGGTCAGGTCCACCCCAGGACCCAGATACTTGTGGCAGAGCTGGTCGTAGCTGGGGTGGACCATGTGCTGGGCCAGGAGGATGCCGGTGAAGTACTGGATTGCGTTGCGGAGACGCTGGCGGTAGGACATGCGGTCGGTCAGGCTGGTGCTCACCAGCGGCACATAGGAGATGGGGGAGGGGGCGATGAAGTAGTGCCCATCCCCGACGGTGAACCACCGGACGTTGTACACCATCGGCAGCTTCAGCCGGTGGGCGAGCATCAGGCCGGTGGGCAGCAAGGGGTCGGTCAGCAGCAGGTCGAAGCCGGCCTTCTCCAAGCGCCTCAGCAGCTCCAGGTCCTCGAATATGTTGGAGATGAAGGCTTGGACGTGGCTGTGGGTGTCGGCCACCATGTCCGTGATCGCCTGCGTGAGCCGGAGGAAGGACAGAGGGGTCCTGCCGTGCTTGCGGATCTCCAGGTTCCTGACCACAAAGCGGGAGATGACCTCGTGGTTCTCCATCACGCCCAGCTTGCTGTCGGAGTGGACGGTGAACGAGTGGTACATGTCGGACTTCTCCTTGATGTACCAGCTCGTGGAGGAGCGCAGCACCGTGAGCTGGTGACCGCGAGCTCGCAGCGCCTCCATCAACACCTTCATGTTGATCCAGTGGCTCCCGTCCACGGGAACCACCAGGATGTTGCTGGCCTCCGCGAGCGGGAGGAGGGGCCCCAGCGATCCCAGGGCCACGGCCAACACCATCAGGGACCTCCTCCTCCTCCACCGGCCTCCGTCCATCCCCATCTCCCTCCCGCCCGGCGTCTCCATCGCTGTCGGGCAAAGATAACGAGAGCAGTAAGGACAAGCCCGGCTTAAGACCCGGCGCCCGGTCACGTCGTCGAGACGTCTCGGAGCGCTTCACGGGACACGCCGTAAAGCGTAGTGACGTGTGCGTGCGTTCCGCGGCCCGAACGCGGCAGCCCATGGCGCCCGGCGACGTCGTCCCCACAAACCGCCGTGGGGTGGAAGCCACCGAATTAGTATTGATGTTGTTTTGAAGGGATGATTACCGCCCGGAAAGCGATCCCCGATGGACCGACAAGCGGGTTCCCACCGGCAAAAACACAGGCGTGTGCGAGTGTCCGCGTGGCGCGAGGGAAGGATTTGCCCCGACCTGCCCGGGAATCGAACCCAGGGACCTCTCGCAGGACTCCGAGAGAGGGGTGAGTCGTCTTTCTCTCTCTCGCGCGCTCTCCTGTTGTCAGATATATCCCCCGGGCTCTGGTAACCAGCCGTGTGTCAGCTCGGCTCAGGTCGCTCTCTCCCTCTCTCTCTCTCTCTCTCTCTCTCGCTCGCGCCTCCGAGCCAGAAGGTTGTGGGTTCAAGCCCCCCCCCCCCCCACCACACACACACACACACATGCACACAGACGCACAAACAAGTCAAGGGACAGTCGTGGATTGAGTGACTAAATTATTATTTTTTGGAGGGCTTATTACCCTGGAAAGCGATCCACCAATTGGCGAACAAGTGGGTTCTTACTGACTGCGGGTTAACAGTGCGCCAGTATTTGTGTGTGTGTGTGTGTGTGTGTGTGCGTGTGTCTGTGTGTGCGCGTGTCTGTCTGTGTGCGCGTGGAGTAAGGAAACTTGCCTCAGGTTTCACCGGGAATCGAACCCAGGTCCTCTGGCTCGCGAGCCGAGGGCTCTAACCCCTGAGCTACGGGGTCTCCATGCGAGTTGGAGCCAGGCTGCGGAGGGCTGAGGGGGGTGTTGAACCCGATCCTCTGGGGCGTGGGGAGCCAGTGGAGCCGGGCGAAGGTGGGGGTGATGAGAGGAGCCAGCAAACACCTAGCGACTGAGCCAGACTGACACCCAGCGACTGAGCCAGACTGACACCCAGCGACTGAGCCAGACTGACACACAGCGACTGAGCCAGACTGACACACACACAGCGACTCAGCCGGGCTGACACCCAGCGACTGAGCCAGACTGACACCCAGCGACTGAGCCGGGCTGACACACACTCACAGCGACTGAGCCAGACTGACACCCAGCGACTGAGCCAGACTGACACACACTCACAGCGACTGAGCCAGACTGTCACACACACATAGCGACTGAGCCAGACTGACACACACCCAGCGACTGAGCCAGACTGTCACACACACATAGCGACTGAGCCAGACTGACACACACCCAGCGACTGAGCCAGACTGTCACACACACATAGCGACTGAGCCAGACTGACACACACCCAGCGACTGAGCTAGACTGTCACACACACATAGCGACTGAGCCAGACTGACACACACACACACTCACAGCGACTGAGCCAGGCTGACACCCAGCGACTGAGCCAGACTGTCACACACTCACAGCGACTGAGCCAGACTGACACACCCATGGACTTTGTGAAATGGGATTTGTTGACAGAGTTAGTGCAATCAGGTTGTAAACTATAAGGAAGATACCTGCATTTACAGCTCAAAATATTCAAACCATTTCAAGCATTATTGGGTAAAGAGATAAAGGGCATTGGCTTGATCATGGCTCGATAGTGTGTGTGTGTAGTGGGGGGTGTGGGGGTGGAGTGGGGGGAGGTTTAAAGTCTCATCCAAACGGCAGCATCTACAACAATGAGTCTCTCTCTATCTCTCCCTCAGCACTGCACTAGACCATCAGCTTAGACTATACAGGTTCAGAGTTCCCGACCTGTGGGGGTGTCAGGCGAGCTCAGCAACTGAGCCAAACTGACTGACACACACACACACACACACACACACACACAGCGACTGAGCCAAACTGACTGACACGCACACACACACACACACAGCGACTGAGCCAAACTGACTGACACGCACACACACACACAGCGACTGAGCCAAACTGACTGACGTACACACACACACACACACACACACAGCGACTGAGCCAAACTGACTGACACACACACACACACACACACACAGCGACTGAGCCAAACTGACTGACACACACACACACACACACACACAGCGACTGAGTCAAACTGTCACACACAGACACACACACACACACACTCACAGCGACTGAGCCAGACTGTCACACACTCACAGCGACTGAGCCAGACTGACACACACAGACACACACACTCACAGCGACTGAGCCAGACTGTCACACACTCACAGCGACTGAGCCAGACTGACACACACAGACACACACACTCACAGCGACTGAGCCAGACTGTCACACACAGACACACACACACACAGCGACTGAGCCAGACTGACACACACAGACACACACACTCACAGCGACTGAGCCAGACTGTCACACACTCACAGCGACTGAGCCAGACTGACACACACTCACAGCGACTGAGCCAGACTGTCACACACACACACACACACACACTCACAGCGACTGAGCCAGTCTGTCACATACTCACAGGGACTGAGCCAGACTGACACACACTCACAGTGACTGAGCCAGACTGACACACACTCACAGCGACTGAGCCAGACTGTCACACACACACACACACACACACTCACAGCGACTGAGCCAGTCTGTCACATACTCACAGGGACTGAGCCAGACTGACACACACTCACAGCGACTGAGCCAGACTGACACACACTCACAGCGATTGAGCCATACTGACACACACACACACACACAGCGACTGAGCCAGTCTGACACACACACACACAGCGACTGAGCCAGTCTGACACACACACACACCGCGACTGAGCCAAACTGACACACACACAGCGACTGAGCCACACTGACACACACACACAGCGACTGAGCCATACTGACACACACACACACACATACACAGCGACTGAGCCAGACTGACACACACACACAGCGACTGAGCCAGACTGACACACACACACAGCGACTGAGCCAGACTGACACACACACACAGCGACTGAGCCATACTGACACACACACACACAGCGACTGAGCCAGACTAACCCACACACACACACACACACACACAGCAAGTGAGCCAGACTGACACACAGATTCTCCAAAACCATCTGAGAATTTCCAGCCTCCCACCTACATATGGAAATTCTCAAGCTACATTGTCAGCTCAAACCGTCCTTTGGATGAGATGCTAAGCCGAGGTCCCAGCTGCCTGTTCAGGTGGATGTTAAAGAAGGGAGGCTCTCTCTGGCCGGGCTGGGCTGCCATCAGCAGTGAGTGCCCTGGAATATACGCGGCTCCTCCCGGCTCAGGAACCGGGGCTAGAGACCGTCACACAGAGAGAGGGCTCGATCCCCACACTCCCCCACGTTCTCAAACATGTCACCCTGGGGCCAGTTCAGCTCCGAGGAGACCCTACTTGACCCACCCCCCCACCTTGGTGAATAGGAACAGAGATAGGGTCGTACCTTTGGCTGCCATGTTTCCGAGTGAAGCAGTCAGTCTGAGCTCCTGTGTGGAATGAACCTTTGTGATGTGTTATCAGTGTTATCACCCGGTGTTGGATTATGTCCAGTCTATAGATAGCCTAAGGCTGATCCCAGTGTTAGAGACAGAGGAGAGCAGTGAGACTGATCCCAGTGTTAGAGACAGAGGGGACAGTGAGACTGGTCCCAGTGTTAGAGACAGAGGAGAGTAGTGAAGCTGATCCCAGTGTTAGAGACAGAGGAGAGCAGTGAGACTGATCCCAATGTTAGAGACAGAGGGGACAGTGAGACTGATCCCAGTGTTAGAGACAGAGGGGACAGTGAGACTGATCCCAGTGTTAGAGACAGAGGGGACAGTGAGACTAGTCCCAGTGTTAGAGACAGAGGAGAGTAGTGAAGCTGATCCCAGTGTTAGAGACAGAGGAGAGCAGTGAGACTGATCCCAGTGTTAGAGACAGAGGAGACAGTGAGACTGATCCCAGTGTTAGAGACAGAGGGGACAGTGAGACTGATCCCAGTGTTAGAGACAGAGGGGACAGTGAGACTGATCCCAGTGTTAGAGACAGAGGGGACAGTGAGACTGATCCCAGTGTTAGAGACAGAGGGGACAGTGAGACTGATCCCAGTGTTAGAGACAGAGGGGACAGTGAGACTGATCCCAGTGTTAGAGACAGAGGGGACAGTGAGGCTGATCCCAGTGTTAGAGACAGAGGAGAGTAGTGAAGGTGATCCCAGTGTTAGAGACAGAGGGGACAGTGAGACTGATCCCAGTGTTAGAGACAGAGGGGACAGTGAGACTGATCCCAGTGTTAGAGACAGAGGGGACAGTGAGACTGATCCCAGTGTTAGAGACAGAGGGGACAGTGAGACTGATCCCAGTGTTAGAGACAGAGGAGACAGTCAGACTGGTCCCAGTGTTAGAGACAGAGGAGAGTAGTGAAGCTGATCCCAGTGTTAGATACGGAGATCACTAGATATAATATAACTAGCCCCGTCTAACCAGGATAACTGGGCAAGCGGGTTTGATACCAAATCACATTTCAGTTGGCTGATTGCTACCCACCCACTGGATGCTGGTTCAACACCCAGTGACAGCCACAGTAACGCTCCTCTACACTGTGCGTCCACACTCCCAGGTCAGGGTTAGAGACACAGTAAAGAGAGAGAGTGAAACAGTGTGTGGACTCAATCCCCACATTCTGTCATTCAGCCTCACACGGCACATTATTATTATTGTAAGAATTATCCTCCCACCTCAATACGGTCCCTTTCATTCCCCCCTCGGGGAAGGACGTCTCAAAGAGCTTTGCAGTGTTTCGCCATGAGGTGTGGTGACTGTGCGTTTGGCAGGCAGTGACGTCTCCACAGAAAAGCCAAGAAGCGAGCAAGGGAATGGTTTTATGTGTCGGCCAGGACACCGGGAGAGAGAGAGAGAGAGAGAGGGAGGGAGAGCGAGACAGAGAGAGAGAAACTCTCCTCTTTTCCCCTCTGTACCTAGACTTAGATACGTGCTGAGCTCGTGAGGGGACGGAGGTTGGACACCAGTAGATTGCGCAAACAACCTCACGGTCAGATAAGATGTGGAGCTTTCAACAAAGTAACGTGTGGAAGTCACTAAACCCACCGCACCCTGAACTGGGTTTCAAGGGTCAAAGAGAGCTCCAGGTGCTGTTGTAAACACCGACATAAAGGAGTCCTGTAGATTAGCTCAGTGGTTAGAGCCTCGCCTCGCACGCCATGGACCTGAGGCGGGTCAAGGTGAAACCTTAGACAAGTTTCCTTAATCCGACCGCACACACACACACACACACACACACACACACACACCCCCCTCTGTTTACAGCGGTAACTAGGAACCCGCTCGTTAGCTGATTGACCCATCACTTTCCGGGGGTCACAATCCCTCCAAAAAATTGGTCGCTTCATCCCACGGCTGCTTGTGGGGACGGCGCTGAGCGCACTCGGCTGCCGCCTTTCGCCAACAGAACACACAGTCACTCCACTTTGCAGTGTATCCCGTGAAGCGCTTTGAGACGTCTCGAAGACGCGATGAGGCGCCGGGGGTCCAACGCCGGGATTATTACAACTGTGTGTTTGTACGTCCTCGTGTGAGAGAGGGAGAGAGAGAGAGAGAGAGAGAGAGAGTGGGGGCAGAGAGAGAAATAGAAAGAGAAAGAGAGAGAAACTCTCTTTTCCACCCGACAGTGCTGTGGGAGGAGATCTTTAGTATTCACCTTGAACAGGTTTAACATCTCTCTCAATACGTCTCTCTCTCTCTCTCTCTCCCTCTCCCCCCAGCGCCGCCCTGGAGCATCAGCTTAGACTGTGAGCTCAAAGCCCCGGACGTGAGTGAGTGAGTGTGAGTGAGTGAGTGAGTGTGAGTGAATGCATGTGTGTGAGTGAGTGTGTGTGAGTGAGTGTGAGCTGTGATTTGTTATTGCTGTATGTAGGTGGTAACAGCCTCTTCACCAAAACCAAAACTCCAAGTGGGTGAACCTTGTTCCCTTAGCAACTCGAGAATTATTGCACCTCATATAATTACGCTCTCTCTCTTTCTCTCTCACATTCCCTCTATCTCTCATTCTCTCTCTCTCTCTCCCTCTCTCCTCTCAATCTCTCACTCGCGCTCTCTCTTTCTCTCTTTCTCTCGCTCTCTCTTTCTCTCTCTCTCTCTCTCTCTCTCTCGCACACGCTCTCTGTCTCTCTGGAATGCGCTCTCTCTCACACTCATTGTGAAGCGTAGTGACTGTGTGTTTTGCGGGTAAGAAGGCGGCGTCCTCACACACAGCGACTGATTTTATCTGGGGGGGGAAATTGTCAGCTAGGACACAAGGAGAGAGAGAGAGAGAGAGAGAGAGAGAGACCCCCCCCCCCACACACACACACATCACCCCCACAGCGCTGAGTGGGGAGATCTTTAACGTCCGCCCTGAACAGGGCACAGACGGGGAGTGAGTGAGGTTTAACGTCTCTGACAATACGTCCCTCTCTGCCTCTCTCTCTCTCTCTCTCTCTCCCCCCAGCGCTGCCCCTGGAGCAGTACAGGTTCCGAGTCCCCCCGGGGTGGGTGTGTGTGTGTGTGGGTGAGTGGGTGGGTGGGTGTGTGGTGTGTGTGTGGGTGGGTGGGTGCGCGTGTGTGTGGGTGGGCGGTGGGGGGGGGCGGAGGGGACTTGAGCTCAGAACCTCCTGACTCGGAGGCGAGTGAGAGCAAGAGAGAGAGAGAGAGAGAGAGAGACTGAGGCAGGCAAGCGTCGACGAGGCTGGCAGTGCAGGGGTTAATCTACGCCAGCACATGCCTGGCTCACACACTGAGATGTCACACAGAGTGTATAATTACACGCACTCTGTGTCAGGAGAACATTTCTGTGCCTCGAGGCTGAGTCAAATGCCGAGGCAGAGGCACCACAACCGGGGAGCAAAGCGATGTTATTTACAACCCCCCCCCCCACCTCCCCCATTCAAAGCGCTTCGCGGGGGGCGTCGCTGACTGCGTGTTTTTCGCGGGCGGCCCCCGTCTTGCGCACAGCGACGTCCCTGACACACAGAGCTGTCGAGCCAGGACACCGGGGGAGAGAAGGAGAGAGAGAGAGAGAGAGAGAGAGAGAAGCGCTCCCCTCTCTTTCCCCCCACCCTCCCCTGGTCTTTAATGTCCGCCCTGAGCAGGGCACGGACCGGGGGGAGTGAGTGAGGTTTAACGTCTCTGACAATGCGTCTCTCTCTCTCTCTCTCTCTCTCTCTCTCTCCCGCCCCCCCCCAGCGCTGCACTGGAGCATTAGCTTAGACTACACAGGTTCCGAGTCCCTGATGTGTGTGTGTGTGGGTGTGTGTGTGGGTATGTGTATGAGGGGGTGGGGGGGGGGGGGAAGGTGCGCAAACCCACAACCTCCTGACTCGAAGGAGAGAGAGAGAGAGAGAGAGACTGAGTCATGGGCTGACATAATGTCAGCTGTTTTTAGGAAGAGTTCGGGGGGAAAGAAAGGTTCATAGAAAAAAACAGAGAAGGATTAAACCAGATATAAATGAGATAACGTTTGATAAATGGCTTTTAATATGACTGTTCAGCTCCGTCTGTATCAATCACACATCCCCTTTGGTTGTGAAATGCATAAACATAATTTATCTCATTGAATATTCCCGGTGTGATGGACTCCAGCCTGTGACACAGTAAAGCTCCTCTACACTGTGCGTCCGTCCACACTCCCAGGTCAGGGTTAGAGACACAGTAAAGCTCCTCTACACTGTGTGTCCACACTCCCAGGTCAGGGTTAGAGACACAGTAAAGCTCCTCTACACTGTGCGTCCGTCCACACTCCCAGGTCAGGGTTAGAGACACAGTAAAGCTCCTCTACACTGTGTGTCCACACTCCCAGGTCAGGGTTAGAGACACAGTAAAGCTCCTCTACACTGTGCGTCCACACTCCCAGGTCAGGGTTAGAGACACAGTAAAGCTCCTCTACACTGTGCGTCCACACTCCCAGGTCAGGGTTAGAGACACAGTAAAGCTCTACACTGTGCGTCCACACTCCCAGGTCAGGGTTAGAGACACAGTAAAGCTCCTCTACACTGTGCGTCCACACTCCCGGGTCAGGGTTAGAGACACAGTAAAGCTCCTCTACACTGTGCGTCCGTCCACACTCCCGGGTC